GAGTTGTTCTGCTGGAGAAATCACTAATTCCATTGCATATTCGCCAGTCTGCTGCATGCTGCTTTGGTATAATTTGAAAATAATCTGTCACGCTCTTAATCAAAGTCGTGACAATTGGATCAATTAAGGATTGTCAACGTGATGTTGCACCAAGCAATAATGTAACGCAAAGTAACTCATTCCTAACCTTGGAGTGTATAGAGAGTACATTAAACTGAAAGGCCTTGCGCTATTACAATTGAATTACAAGGATATTAATTTCCTCATGGGTCCTCAATAACAAATGCCAATGTAGTCTTGCTTTGAGTCTCTGAACCAACTATTTTCTTTACCTACTTGCAGGCATGTGGCCAGCTTTTACCAGGGACGGGGCTTCTTGACAGTTTTGGTTAAAAAGATCATGTGAAAAGTGCTCAGAATGGTGAAAAACTGCATGATTTTGAAAGAATTGCCGCTCCCACCCTCTGGCTACGGGCCTTTGTTGCTTGCGTGTGAAAAAGTGTGTAGTCAAGTGGTTGGAGGAGATCAAAAGGCCTTGTAGCTTGACTAACATAACTGTTTTTTAAGATAAAATCAGAGTCAGGAATTTAACTTTCCCTAACAAATCAGTGTCATTTTCCTCAGATTTTTTTCTCAAGTGGGTGCAAAATTCTTATTTTTGCAGTTTAGACCAAATTTGGTCAAAATACTGGTAATGCCTATTTTCATGATTTTTCTTATTTCAACTGGATGCAAATGGATTCTCACGTAGGTGTAAGCTTAGAGTATTATTGAAATATCAAGTAGATACACCACCCACTTGTTTTAATACTGGAGAGATCACTGCTCCTCATACTGTAAGTTCCAGATCTGTGGTAAATAAGAATCTGTTGCCTGCTCTAATACAATCACTGCTCCCCCTCATCATCTCTAATTCTAGCTATAACCAAGAGGAATGCTCATTACAAGCATTGTAACATATCTGTAATAAGAGTGGGAATACCCCAGAATTCATGGACGAACCTATACCTCTCTTCATAAAGATGAAGCGCTAGTGTTTCATCTCTTAATTCTGGAGTACATGTATATATATTTCCTCCTCTTATCTGTATGATGGAAATAGTAGGGGGGGGGGGGGGCATTACAACCTTATATAGGTGACATCCATCAACCAAAAGGCACCCTGACACAAAGAGAGTAGTATAGGTAAGTTGAATGCTATGCATCTCTTCTAGCTAAGGAAACCAAACTACATGTACTAGAAATTATACCATGAAGTGGTAAGGGTCTTGGAGCATATTCCTGGAGTATTATGGACCCTGTTTTCATAACAACAGGCCCGTAGCCAGCTTTGCCAGAAGAGGGGGTCAGTTTTCAAATAATTTCTTCCCCCCTGGCTATGGGTTTGACCAGAAATGAACTGATAATTCTTTGGTGAATCTAACTTAGGAAACCTGGCTTGTTTTCAATTTGAATGACACAGCAGTTTTTTCTTCAATAGAAACTGTTTTTATTTTCCATAAAGATTTCACCTTCCTGTTTTCTTTGTTCAATTTCAAAACTAATTTTAACTTTATTTAATGATTTTGATTTAATGGCCAGGTCAACATAACAGTTTAAAATTAGAAGTTGGTAGAATGCATCACATGTTGTATTTAACTCATAAAAAATATTTGTGTTTTTTCACAGGTAATTAATTCTATTGGAAATTCTTTCAAAAGACTGACATAAATTGTGACTTATCATGTCAAATGGCTAGATTTGTGCCTATATGATAGGCATTTCCTAGCCAATATACATGTAACAATGTACATATTTTATATACATGTATATTATTTATATTTCCTCTTTATGGTTATTGCTTTACTTATTAGATATTCTTCTAAACCTCAATCTGGTAGAATGTGATAGGAGATTCAACTTGGTTGCAAGGAGTTTCAACTTGGTTGCAAGTCATGTAATTTTCAAATTCTGAGTTTTGTATACCATCAAGTACTAGATATAGTAACCCCATGAGGAAAACACCTATAGCATTGGTCCCCGGTAGATTACATATAAAGACGTACCCTCACATCAAACCTATGTCCAATTATGAAATAAAATTCAATTGCATATATGGAAAGAAATAAATGTACAAATCCACAAATTCAAAGTGTTTTACAGTATCAGCTGACCATTTTTCCCTTTCTTCTTCTTCTGTCACACTGCCAAATGTGCTTTAGTAAAAATAACACACGAATGGAGTTGATGTATCAGATCAGTCAACATTGACTCTTCATATTTTTGGATTTGCATTTCACTTAACAATTAGGCAAAGGTTTGACTTATAAGGGATCCCTGATCCCCCTCCTTTTATAAGTTATACTAAATACTTAGACTAGTACTGGCTTAAGTACACAAGGTGAACAAATCCAAAATGTTTTCATTAACATTATATGGTTATTTGTGTCAGTTAAAACTAGATTCTAATTGCAAGTAAGTTCTAGCATGCCATGCAATTAACAGTTAAAGAGCTAATTAGCAGCAATTCTCATCTAAACAACCCTAAAATATATTCAATTCATCATTATATTTCACTTACATAACCCACAGACAGCGACATGAAACTATTTCTGTAATTATTGAGGCTTGAAAAAGGGGTTCATGTATGAAGTGAATTAAAGTAGAACCTGTGTATAATGAACATTTTTTGTCGAGGAAACATGTTCATTGCTGGTAGGTGTTTACCACGGAGAGGGATTACAGAAGTTAGTACAGTATATACACATAGGAAGGCAAGGGTATCTAATAGAGAGAGTTATTCACTAGAGACAGATGTTCATTAAAGAGATGTGTTCACTACAGAAAGGTGTTCACTCGAGACAGGTGTTCCCCAGAGAGAGGTTTTCACAATTCCACCTCCATACACACAATCCTACCTTCATACACACAATCCCACCTTCATGCATATAATCCCACTTTCATACATACAATCCCACCTTCATACACAATCCCACCTTTATACACACAATCCCACCTTCATACACACAATCCCACCTTCATACACACAATCCCACCTCCATACACACAATCCCACTTTCATACACACAATCCCACCTTCATGCATATAATCCCACTTTCATACATACAATCCCACCTTCATACACACAATCCCACCTTCATACACACAATCCCACCTTCATACACACAATAAAATTAAATAATAACACAATAATAAAAATAAAAAAATACACACAATCCCACCTCCATACACACAATCCCACCTTCATACATACAATCCCACCTTCATTCACAATCCCACCTCCATACACACAATCCCACCTCCATACACACAATCCCACCTCCATACACACATTACCACCTCCATACACACAATCCCACCTTCATACACACAATCCCACCTCCATACACACAATCCCACCTCCATACACACATTACCACCTCCATACACACAATCCCACCTTCATACACACAATCCCGCCTTCACATTTATGAGGGTAGGTATACCATGCAGTGGTCTCCCCGAAAAAACTGAGTGCAACAATTTTTCTTAAAAAAAGTCTTTAAAAAATTGGCTATGCAGGGTGCCAACTGGGAGGCCTTTGGTTTCAAGTAGCCCCCCCCCCCCCTGGGTAAAAGTGACATGGGGAGATCACTGCCATGTGTAATACCTAAGTAATACAAATGATTAAAGAATAGAGTTCAAACAGGGTCTTTAATCGTTAGATCCAACACATGTTCTATATTTGGAATTTTAAGGAAAATAAGCCATATAAGTGGATCTTCTGAATGAAAATTGATTTAACAGCATTTAGCCAAAACGATAACAACAAAACAGAAACTGTACAGGATTCAAGGTAGATTTAATCCCTTACAATAATGTGTATGTTCAGTAGTGCAGTACCTATTAGCCCATCAAAAGTAAAGCCCCTTTCTTTTCTTATATTCAGAATTACAGGTATTTCAAGCTGATACATCTTTTTGCAATTTAAAGCCAAAAAACTGGGTCATCAGATACAGTTGGGGACAAAAATAAATGACAGGTCGATTTTCGATCACCATTTCCTAATTATGGTGGTCTGAAAGCCCATAATTTCCAATATTGTCTAGATACATATCCCTTAAAATTTGTTTATTTTACATTTTGTATAATCTCATCCACTGATTTATGGCCTCTTGTAAATTCTCTTTTTTTAACATGGGAAATCCTCACTTCAGCAAATCCACCTGTCATTTATTTATGTCCCCAACTGTACCAGAATTTTCTTTCAAAAACAAACTTCAAAACTAAATTATGTTTTTAAGTACAGGAGGTCAGATCAAGGGGCAAGTACAGTATGCCCCACCCCTCAAAATGGTTGTTATGCTGGATGTTGGTTACCACCTAATACTTGGTAAATGTAGATGTTCAAGTATACAAATGTTGTTAAGCTATGCCAAATAGTACCTAGGTTTTGCAAATCCGGAAATGCAAAAACAACATAGGCATCTCAATTTTAGAATTACAATTACAACATAGGCATTGCAAATGTGAAAGTACAATAACAACATCGGCAAATCAAATGTAGAAGTACAATTGCAACGTAAGTAAAGCAAATGTAGAAGTACAATTGCAACATAGGCAATTGCAAATTTGGAAGTAAAATTGCTGAAAAATGCCTAGATGTGGGTCCCATTTTGATGAAAAAATCCCTTGAACTGGGTCTACTTTTTGTAAAATCCTTAAACTGGGTACTGTTTTTGAAAAAAAATCGCTGGAAGTAGGTCTTGTTTTTAAAAATTACCTTGAAATGGGTCTATTTTTGAAATAAAAAGATGTGGGTCCATTTTTTGAGAAAAAAGGCAAACACTATGCAAATGTGATTTCAGAGATGTAAATGCTGCACCAAAAATGTGAGAAGATATTGTGACTGAGTATTTTCGGCAGAACTTGGTAACAACGCAAGTAGATGTTATGAAAGCAAGATATCAAGCCTATCGTATTACTAACAATTAACACATATAATGTGACTTGAACCTACCTTTCAGCATTGGTCATTGGAATATGATGTTTAACTCCATTATCATCTATTCTCGTCCTGAAAAATAATTATCAACATTTGTATTTATGTGCAGTCATAATAATTGAATCAGTTGCATTTACTATTCTACCTATGAATGCTTTCATGTACAGTTAGATACAAAGCATGTGTATTATGGGTGTACTCAAGTGGGGGGGTGCTAGTATAGGCTTCACGTGCAAGCTATATGTTTTTTAGATGTAGACGACTAGATGCACCCACTTGAAAAAATCCTGAGAACACCCCTGTACATGCACAAATTTGTCTACAAACAATCTGATTTTCAATCACATAACACTTTTTCTATTTGAAAGTACACAGCTGTCAGCATATGATTCAAACATGCCTTATAATATTATCACCAGTTTTATTGCATTCAGATTCCTTAAATGTCTGGCGATAAGGGTTTCATTTTTAGATATAGATCTGATGATCTGATTCTGCCTTTAAGACTAAGCTTGACTTTGCAAGTGGTTCTATTTACCTTTGGATAAAGCTAAATTAGGCCAGCAAAGAAAGTTAAATTCATAATCCATTTAAAATATCAGGGAAATTTACGACATGTTTCATTAGACAATTGAATAATCTAGCAATGGTTATATATTTGCTTGAAACAGTTAGTATTAGCCTCTTACAAATTATTAATAATCATTAATTAATGTAGATCATCGACGTACATGATATATCTAATTCCAATCATCATACATCTGCTAATTAAGCTATATCATGCCCTTTCAAGAGAGCTTTATCAGGGGCAGCAGGCAATTATCACCGGTTGTTTTCACAAAATAGCCTGTTTTAGGGACGTTTTCCATGCAATATTTATGATTTCCATTAATTTTGCCTGTTGTGAGAAATTCTAGGGCGAAGGGGTGTAACGTCGACACCGTTTTGGGGTAACTTCGACATGTGGGGTAACTTCGACACCTTGTTGTTTATTTGCTCTAATTTCTGATCTAGGGGGAAGCCATGTTTTTGTTCTCGCATGGATCGAGATCTCGCGAGATTTTAATTTTTCCAGAAATCAAACATGGCGGAAAACGGAAATTCTACTTCTAATACGTAAGTGTCGAAGTTACCCCGTCTATTATGTCGACATTACCCCACACGTCGACATTACACCCCTTCGCCCTAGTGAAACCCCTGTATATATACGCTACTAAAAAGACTCGATGGACATGAAAGGAGTTCTCTTCAAATCCATGATATTGATAAAACCTTGATTCATGTTAAATGAATTAAATTAAGGTCAAAAATGAAATAAATCTGACTGAAAGTTGAAAAGTGAAATAAATATTGAAAAATTATCTAGATTTTTCTACATGTAGCTAGATAATTTGATACCTTTTAGCCCTTCCTCTAGGCATCTTTGTCTTCCTGGAGAATCAACAAATTGCCTTTGTTGTGGTGTCGTGTTATCAAGTGGTATAAAAGTGAGTATAATCCAGAAAATTAACAAAAATCACAGGGGCTTGTCTCGAGGCGTCGGGCAAGCCCTCCGATGAATCTACTGCTTATAATAGTATTAAGGGTGGTCGGTTTTGATGCTACCTGAAATTTGTAGAAAATGATTGTTAGATATATCAAGTAAAAATATATGGAATCCTTTCAATAATCGACATGCTGATTCAAACAACACTATAGAGTAAACTTACCTAAAATGGTAGCAATCCATCCACTAGTTGCTGAGATGTGTGAAGAACATGTAAGGAAGTGATTAAATTTAATTGAAAATGCAAAACACGACAATTTTCACCCTCAAATTGTTAGCTCCAGAGTCGATTTCTTCCTCAAAACACGTCCACTGTTAAAAATCGGTAGTCCCTAGAGTTCTTTGTTTACTTAGGTTCATTTCCGTATATTATTTTTAACGAAGGACAGCCTATAACGACTGCTATACGCAAAATAGATGCATGAAATTATGTTTCGAAACTGAAAATGTGTTCCATGCGCAGTTGCGTTCAATCCAGCAATTTGATTAGTTCATATTATATGAACGCATGCGCAATGACCACATATTTTTCTAGATAGATGTCACTTGCGTTCATTATTTCACACCAGTCCATTCCCATGATGCACCTAATATTGCGGGAATATTTTCCTTTAGTGATAAAACAAATTACTCTCATTTTCGAAATATGTTTTCCGTTCCTTGGCAATAATCTTTCATTTGGTACCGATCCAACCGCCGAAAAGTAATTCGAATCCTTCTGAATTGTGGGAATGAAGTACTTTCATTTTTGCGCATGCGCTGCGCATGCGCATAGAACACGGGAAAGTCGCCATTTTTCAACTTTCAGTTTCGAAACTTAATTTCATGCATCTTTTTGCGTATAGCAGTCGTTATAGGCTGTCCTTCGTTAAAAATAACATACGGGAATGAACCTAAGGAAACAAAGAACTCTAGGAACTACCAATTTTTAACAGTGGACGTGTCTTGGGGAAGAAATCGACTCTGGAGGTAATAATTTGGCTGCAAAAAAATTCGGTACTTGCAGTGTAATCACTTCTTAACAAATTATTCAGATTTCTCAGCAACAAGTGGATGGATTGCTACCATTTTAGGTAAGTTTACTCTTTAGTGTTGTTTGAATCAGCATGTCGATTATTGAAAGGATTCCATATATACTTGATATATCTAACAATCATTTTCTACAAATTTCAGGTAGCATCAAAACCGACCACCCTTAATACTATTATAAGCAGTAGATTCATCGGAGGGCTTGCCCGACGCCTCGAGACAAGCCCCTGTGACAAAAATCCAACAGGTAGTCTGTAGAACTTTCCATCATAAACAAATAGACCCCTTGAAATTCAGAACAACATGATTCGGTAAAGAGTTGAAAAATTAAAATCACAACAGCAGTCTTAATACTTTAGATCTAAAAACTTCATTTAACATACTTTATTCTTTAAATATTTTTCTGTGTATTTCAGTCAATATACATGATAAAGTAATACGTTATAATCACCAATCACATATATTTAGAAGGGGTCCATCAATCAAGATATTGTTTTCGTTTTGTGTAAAACTATGGTTATTTTTTAAATCAAAATCTTATCCACCAAGTTTAACAACTCTACATATATAGTTGTGTAGTATGGGATATAAATATATATGTATAACCAAGTTAATACTCTTAAAACACAGTGCATACAATTTGCATAGTCTATTTGTTCACCCCGGGGATAAACTAATTAGGTCAAAGTAGCTCTTCAAATTGAGAGGAAATAAAATTACCAAAACAATTTTAGGTTTTTGAATTCACTTTTTTATCATTGTTGTACAGTTGCTTATATTATTAGGGTAAGATATTCAGTGATTTTAAGAAATATATATAATATATTCCATTAAAAACAGTACTTGTAAATATGTATGATATATTTCACATCAATTGTTGAACTAAATAGTTGCCATGGTATCAATTCTTGTTTATTTTCATTTTCTTCTGTCTGAGTGTCTGTGTCATTTGTGTTTCACTATCAGTCTTACCCTTTACATTTGATCAACTTCACTTCTTGAGAGAGAGCTTTGTCTTCACTCCTTCTGAACTCACCAAACAAATCAGAGTTGTGTCTTTGAAATAACAACTATACAGTCAAGTACAATGTAGATCTAGCATACATAGGGACATTCTCGGACATGGGGCGATACGTTGATGATATATATATTGTGAAAAGCCTAACAAGTCAACAAACAAATACACGTACATGTATGTCACCTACATTTTATAGCTTCCATTCCTAAAATATTCCAAGCAAATTACATTTAAGCAGGCCTGTCAACTGTCCCGCAATTTGCGTATTTGTCACGCATTTGCTGAAGAATTTGAAGTCACGCCAGTTATTTTTGCATGACAGAAAATGTCACGCAAATACGCATTTTACCTGGTAATTGTCAAGCAAAAATATTTCTGTAGAAAAATTTCTAAAAAAGATCGTCTACACAGCAAAAATACGAACGCGGGAAAAAAAACGTACGCATTTCGTTCGGACTTTTCACGCGAATTACGTATATGTCACGCATTCCGTTCGGAATTTTTCGTGCCAGATCTGTTTTATATGTCTCTGCCTCACCACTCTGGTTTACCTCCAGTATTAGAGGATGGAGATGTTGTCCATATGTCTGCCTAGGGGGGCCCCATACTTTCAGGACACCCTGTACATTGACCACATTGCCTCCCTGTCTCTAAGCCTACTTTCAGTCTCATTATTTGCATATTCCAGTTCTACAGTACCCTAGAAATATATGTTCAAATTCATACATGTATCAACAGTGAAAGTTTACCTCCCAAATACATGTATGGTACACTTGTACACTGACACCTCCCAAGTTTATATTTATCGTGACAATTGTGGTAGGTACAATGTACATGTATCTACATGAACATTGAACATCCACATTTAACATATGTACTTCGTCTTCCAGTGGTGACCCTTTGTCCATCTGTTTTGACCTGATACCATGGAAGCAGTCTTAGAAGAATACATCCGCAAGTTTTTGTACGATAAAAGAGGGGAGCAGGTATTTGTCGATTTGAAGCATGCAATCTCTGTTAAACATGTTCAGAAACACGGCTCGACAACATTGGCTTCAACATGGGTGAATATACTGCAACATCCAGACAACTACCCTACATCCTTATATGCATACAAAAGCTTGAAGGATCGAACGTCAGGTGTGGAGAAAGTGATGTTGAAGACTGATGATATCACGTTCACAGTTTTTATGAAGACTGGAACACTTACTCTTCAAGGTAATTACTAAGCCATGGCGTTGTTTATTGTTTTTGTTGAACTTCCTGCTTTCTCTTCTCAATTCATTCATTCATGCTTTAACTATCAAATGTCATTTATTTGTACATTCATTAAATGTCATACATTAGTCAGATCATCAAATGCTTTTCATTTGCTCAACAAATGTTAATTATTTCAAAAAATATTAACATGCAGGTGTACTATTGTTTTAGACATGAAGAAAAGCTCATTGACATGTACTGAAGATTTAAATTGACAATAACAGATTTACAGAATGTTCAATGTAAAACATATGCCAATTACAGTATATAGGCAAGGTATACTCACGCCCGGTGATCGTGAAAATGGGACGGAGGGGGGAGCAGGCAATTTCTGCTAGAAAATTCAACAAATCTGAGAGATTTATTTTTTCAAGAAAAAGTTTACTATTGAATTGCTGAATTGATAGGCGCACGGTATGGTAAAATATGTTAGGTCTTCTGGGATTTTTTCTGAAACGATAGGCATCTAAGATATGAGATCTATTAAAAAAGGCGCGAGGCAACCAACAGACACAAATCAACGTTTTAGCTAATAAATCAAGCAACAATGGTCTACACGACCTGTATTAAATACTTGTAAGTGACGATATCATAACTAAATTAATGCCATTGCTGAATTTATAAAATAAGTTTCAATACGTAAAATAAAAAATAATCGAAAATAATTATGGGACGGAGGGGGGGAGCAATATGTATCATGTCTTAATACATATTGCTCCCCCCCTCCGTCCCAAAATTATTTTCGATTATTTTTTATTTCACCTATGGAAACTTATTTTACAAAGTCAGCAATAACATTAATTTTGTGACTATAATGTCACTTACAAGTATTTATTACAGGTCATGTACACCATTGTTGCTTCATTTATAGCAACAACACTGACTTTTGCACGTTGGTGCGTTGCGCCTTTTTTAATAGATCTTATACCCTAAAAGAGTATCGGTTGAAAAAAAATCCTAGAATACCTAACATATTTTACAATACCATGAGCCTATTTATTTAGCAATTCAATAGTAAACTTCTTCTTTAAAAAATAAATCGTCCAGATTTGTTGAAATTTCTAGCAGAAATTGCCTGCTCCCCCCTCCGTCCCAATTCTACGATCACCGGGCGTGATACTGTATATGAACACAATTGTTAAAATCTTAATGCAGGTAACTTTGCACATGAATGGTTCGTGCAACACTTCAAGGGTATTCTGGATCGTTCTGAGAGCTGTATCACCGATGACCATTCAGTGCTGTCTCCAACAAGGCGTAGCTACAGCAGTAATGGATACCGAAGTCAGGCCTCAGCATACACATCGTGGAGAGATGCTGATATCACAAATACTGGTTCGTCCAATTTTATTTTTTCTTCCTTGTTCTGTCAGATTGGCCATGGGCATTCAACCTGTTGAAAGCCCATGAATTGGCTGATGAAACAACTTTTTTTGGCGCTCTCAAGTTGGCCGAGTGGTCTAGAGCACTGAACACACTAAACTAGGCGCTGTCGCCATTACCATAAGACGATGAGTTCACGATGCATAAGCTGCTTGCATTTATTCATTTAAGCACTGTATTAGATGATCTCTTGATGTATTTAATACAGTTGATGTTTCATATAATTTGATATGATATGATTGGTTTTAAGTTTTTCATATGTTGTTTCTTCTTTCTCATAAAGATTACAGTTGTATGTGTTTTTACTCCTTGATAGAGGAGTAATGTAATGCTCTATTTGGTTTAATGGCCCATTTGAAATTAGGGTTTGTGTTTTTTCAAACATTGTCTTGGTTTTTTTTATTCTGTACATATAACCAAGATATGTTGTTGATGGTTTCACAATCAATGCATGTTGCTGAGGGGAACTTTTAATCAGAGACACAAAATAACTTTTCATGTAGTATTATATTTTTTCATATGTCTCTGTTTTAATCTGAAAAAGGTGAACAATAAAAGCCCTGTCATCAAATTGTAAGAAGATTAATTTACTTCATATCTCTTACTTTAGAGGCAAGACGACAGTTAGATGAACGTGATAATTCAGCTGGAAGTCGTCTGTATAGAAGCACCCTAGCCACTGAACCTATACTACCAGATGTGGACTATAATGCTGAAAGAAAGATTGAAGATGGCCAAGATGATATTTTACTTGGAATGAGAAGCCTTAATATGAACTCGGTGAGTATTATTGACATTGTCTTTGGCCGAGGGGTCTAAAGCACTAAACTTGATTGGCTTAGTGCTGATGCCATAATCATGAGCTCATGAGTTTGAGATCTGAGAGCTCTTTGCATTTATTCATTCATTATTCAGTCTTGCTTGGTCCGGTTCTTCCCCACAAACAGCTGGCTTTAGCACATGTAATTACAGACTAGAATGGCAAAATGGTTTCGGTTTTTTTGAGAACTTTAAAGGGGAAACATAGGGTCAGAGTTAGACAGTACAGGAAACATGTATATCTGAATGCCTCTCTTATCCAAACACCTCTCAATGTGAACACTTTTTCTCTGTCCCAAAATTGTTATCTCCCATTGACTTACATGTTGGATAAGTCATGTTTTACCGTACTTTAAATGTTGGTATATGGTAGATAAACAATACGCTTTGTGATATTTGTTACTCCTCCCATCAGATGATCAATGATCATGAAAATGATTTTATTCAGACTTTTGCATTGAAAAAAAGATGTGATGAGAATATTCTACAGGGTGACCCAAAAAGCAGTACTTTAGCCATTTATTCAAAGATTTGTGGGTTCTGTTTTTTTGGATCACCCTGTACCTTATATGAGTATATTCCAGAACATCATTTTTAAGGCTTTAGGTTTAATTAGTTATTATCAACTAAGACCCCAAGTTTGGCATTTAATTACCTGGTATGTATGTCAGTTTATCTTCGCTAAAACGTAAAACCAAATACTTTAACTTCTTCAGGAACTGATGTCTAGAGAGTCTGTACATCGCCAGTTAGAGAGCTTGAACCAAGTTGGGGGAATAAAAGATGGCCCCACATACATATACAAACTTTGGAAGTCACTACTTGATATGTGGATCTCGACTGAAGGGAATAAAGTCTATATTGTATCGCCATTTATGGATGCTGACCGTTTAGCTGATGTAGCTGAAATCTGTATGAACAATGCGTGGACGGCCAACAACTTGACTGCAATCTATGCAAGGAGAATATGCGATGGTGAACGCACAATCAGCGATCTGAAAAGAGATGTTTTAACTTATTACAATCAGGACGAGAAAAAGAAACTCTTTGTTGAGTACAAAGTATTCAGTAAGATCATTTATCCAGTTAAGACCTTTCATGCAAAGTTCATTGCTACAACAAAAGATGGCATGGCTGATGTTCTCGTTACGAGCGCCAACTTTCACGGCAGCCATTTTGTACGATCCAACATGGAAACTGTATTTTTTGTAAGAATGACTGAGCAGGAATTTCTTGAGAACTACATAAATCCGATCAAGGAATCAGTTCAGGGGTAAAAAGCCAATCTAGAGTTATCAATTTAAAAAACAGGGGTTTTTAGTGCCAAAGAATGATAGTAAATACACCCCCTCTATAAGTTTGGCAACTGGAAAATCACCATTGATTAGCATGTGAAACCATCTTAATGTTTGAATTTTAGATTCAACTAAACATGTTAAAATCGCAAACATCAATAGGTTCAAAGTCTAACAAATGGTCAAAAAGAAGACTCAGTTGCCAAACTTTTTGTGGGTAGTATACAAACTGAAGGTTCAATATTTAACAGTTGTCAAAACTTATGGAGGGGAGTGTAATATAATTATTTTAATGTCTGATGTGAAGCTATCAAAGATTTATAAGTTTCAAACTCATTACACATGTAATTATATACATGTAATTATATACATAAAAAAGATGTAACAGAAGACTGATAAATCAGTGTCAAAATGTCTTAAAGAACTAAATGTAGTCTAGAAGTCCCTGTGACCCCCCCCCCTCCCCACTACTTGACTACACACTTTTTCAAACAGGAGGTTAGTAGGGCACTGGCGGATCTGCCCCCCTTGGGTGGGCCCAGAACAAAAATTGGGCTCTAAAATAATTTTGGGCAAAAAAGGCCTTAAAGTCTTTTTGGGCCTTCTTGGTCATTACTGGGCCTTTTCGCCAATTTTTGAAGAAAATGGGCCTCAAAATTTCAAAATGTGGGCCCACTTTGGGGTTTTAGGGGCCCAAGGTTTTTTTCGTAGATGCCAGATGCGCCCCTGTAGGTGGCTCAGAAGGGCTTGAAGCTAGACTACTGCTGATGCAAAATGAATACATGTACAATTAATAATTTTATTTCAACCAACTCACTTGTAAATCTTTGTAATTGTACTGCTGAGATTACACATATTATTATGTATGATATGACATTTTGCATTTTAATGCCTTGTTAAATATAGATTTCACTTTAACTTATATTTCATTGTTATTAAGCCTCTATGGGCTTTTAGTCTAATCAGATCAATAATGAGTATGTTATAATACTAAAAAATAAAAGTAGCTATAGGCATATTTAATAATCCCTCGAACATTTATTTTGTTCAATAGAGCAAGTCTCATCAAGTCAAGTTTTAGTTATTCTTAGAAGAGTTTTACTACATACATTGCAAATACATTTTTACATGTGAAAATATATCATTTGCGTTTGTTCTTTCTGTCAATTTCAATTCTAGCCAACTTTGAATACAACTCAAAATATGTGGTATTGTATCCATACTGTTATGGAGCGATGTTTCGCTAGACGTCTCATCTGGTTTGGTAATTTGAGATACCATGTGGCGATGTGTGCCAAATGTAAAGGGCAAGCCACGACGTACCTCAGTTTAGATTAAAAATTTAAGATGGAGAGGTTGTCATGGAGCCAAAGATTTAAACGAAATAAATTATATTCGACTCAAAATCACTTATTTGGTCAACAGAATGAAACCAAAGAATATCATCCTGGTCGTGCTTTTGTTAGAGTTCCTCTTGATTAATCGCACTTTTAAGATAATATACACCTTGAAAAATATCTCATCGTTGAAAATACTTTGAAAAAAAGAAAACTATTCACAAAACCGAGACTTGATGAGATTGAAGCAGGAAAATGTTCGGATGATTGTGATTAAGATGAACTGCATTTTGTTTTCAGATGTAAGAACTATGAGAACAGCCCACTCTATCATTAGCCAAAACATTTCATTGAAATGTGTTTTAAGAAAAGATATATGCATTACCTCAGATGCAAAGTCATATCTATAGGGGGTGGAAAAATTGCAAGCAACATTTACATTTTGCCTACCAATATATTGATAATATATATTCCTTACTATCTCAAATATACTTTATCTCCCTTATGAAGTTGCAAGTTATCAAAATGCTAAATGGGGAAAAATGTTTAAACTCTCAGATAATAAAAATGGCAACTTATCTCATTTTTTCACGTTTACGCGAATGTAAACAAAGGAAGTCGATACCCTAAGGCGTTTTCATTCTTCTTTCTATCCACAGATATGTATTTGTTGTCTTTAAAAAGTACAATCCCTTAGCATGACTTGTGCAATACAGTATCACCCTTCGAACTTGCTATGATCCTAACCCTGCGTGTAGAGTCTAGTTATAAACTACATGTAGACGAAGCTCTCTTTTAAGAAGTGAAGTCGAACGAATGCAAAGGGTGCTATAATCTTGACCCCGCCCCCTTGGTAGTGGTAGAGTCATATGGGAAAATAGAAAACTTGGAAATTATATAAAAAATGATCACAAACTGGAAAGATACTTAACATCAAGTGTGAACAAAATGTAAGATGTTAGATTAGCAAACCATAATTTAAGAATTGAAACAGGAAGACACGAGAAAAAGAAAAAAGATGGCACTTGATAGAGTCGACTTGAAATAAAATAAAAAAAGAATTTGCAATAAGGGGGAAGCAGAGGATGAAAAGCATTTTTTCTTTTATGTGATGGTTATAAAAAATGTAGATATGATTTTTTATAAATTTATTAACACTTTAAGAATATGTCGGAGGAAGAAAAATATAAGACTTTTAATGATGATCATAAAATTGTAAACGAATTGATACATTTTATAAATACATTTTTCAATCAAAGTCGGGGGCTATTTAAAAGAAAAAACTAGATTGAATATTTATTTATTTTTTAAATTATTCATCACTGTATATTTATATTGTAACCGGACGAAACGGGGAAGGGAATGGGACTTTAAACAGAGCCTATGAGATCAAATATAATATGCAACACATATGTAAAACAACACGACGCAATATAAAATATACAATATAATAATATTATACAAATGTTTATTTTCATAAAATCAACAATTCTTGGCTAGAAGTAATTTCATCTGGAACACCGTGAACGTCATTTGAAAAATGCTGGCCGGCGTGTCATAAAGGAGTGGTATCGATATGGAGAAATTTTTAGGTTTATCTTGATTTTTATCTATTTTGGGGGGATTTTGTTTTAATTTTTTGAATACTTTTTTAAAATCAAACAAAAATTCCTTTGTATAACTATAATATTGAGAGGTCTAAAAACGTGTTGTATATGCTATTTTGTTTTATCAAGGTTCGGAAAGACATTTTATTTCATTCTCAAGCATTGGTAGAAAGGAGCACTAAAAATACCGTTTACAGAATGTTTTCAATGATTGGTTTAAGAAAAAATATTTTTTAATTCAGTTCTCAATATCGATACCACTCCTTTGTCAAATATTTAAAAAATCGCCAGTTAAATAAATCATTAATTAAAATGGGACCGGCCGGGCTCCTTGATGAGATATTGCATGATTTCGTCAGGATTTCATCTAATATTAAAACATATGGCTCCAAGAAAAATGGCGACATTCGAAAACTGAACGAAATGTCGTTTATGTCTGGCATTAGTAACTGGCTGTAAATTCTAAGTTAGCGATCCAGAAGATGTAAACTAATACATTTATCACTTCATGTATGTTTTGGAATTTTAGGTGAGGTAATAAGACCAAAACTCGCAATTCAAATTGTGATGTGGAAAAATGGCAGACATTTGATTTCAAATTTTATGATTACGACATGACCCGTATACATGCAGGGATTTATTTTTGGACGAAGGCCACGATTCAGTGGCCTTAGAAGAAGCATGAAGGTAGTATGTACTAATCATTTCGTTAAGCAGACCGTTACAATATGATAATGTTGTACAATTGATTATGTGAGGAAGCCAAATGTTTAAAATAAAAAAGCTCAACCTTCTTGATTAATACACTTTAATTCTATATGAACAATATTGGTGAATTACTCGCAACGTTCAAAAGAGGTTATTCTTGTATAAAAAAAGATATATCAAGTTTCTATATATAATACACCAGTACACTGTTAAAAAATTTATAACGAATATCTGGGCCTTGCAGTCATCATGGATGGTGCAGAATTTAGGCGAAGGGGAAAAGAGATGATAGATTATGTTGCAGATTATTTAGAGAACATTCAAGAGAGACGTGTGTTTCCAACTGTTGAGCCAGGGTATCTGCATCAACTTATTCCCGATCATGCCCCAGAGGAGGGGGAGAAATGGGACGATCTCTTTAAGGACATAGAGCGGGTCATTATGCCAGGGGTAAGTATCAGGTGTCCCAAAAAATGAGACACTTTTTGCCATGTCTTTTCTCGGCAACTGTTGAACAAAATTCACTGAAAATTTGTACAAAGCAGCCAAAGACTGCCATAAGCAAGTTGTAAAAATATAAAAAAGATCAAGTAAATATTCCGTGAGAACTAAGAAATTCAAAATAGCATGGCAACAATCCTCATCTTTGTCATATTTCTGTCCTTGCTAACAATACTCCTGGGCAGGGAAAATTTAGTTCATCGATTGCCGAGATAATACTTGTCAAAAAGTGTCTCATTTTGGGACACCCGATATAATAGACATAGAGCGGAATATTATGCCAGGAGTGAGTACTAACTACTAAAGTAGACAAAATGTCAAGTACGGGTGGTCTCAAGGGAAGAGCAGTGAGGAAATTTTATTTTATCAACGTGGCAAATTGTTTGTGTCAACGAAGATTTCACAGGGGGGGGGGGGTGCAATGAGGCAATTCTTTTTATCAACAAGGTAATTTTTATCAATGAGGCAAATGTTCTTTATCAATGAGGCAATTTTTTTGGAAGTGAGGCAACCAGGATCCTGATCTTAGATTCAGAAATCTATTAGTTGACGTAACATTTTGATACGGACCACAAGATTTAGAAACCACGTATACGTTTAACTTTTCATTCATGTATGAAAAACACGGAGCGCAGCGGCGTCTCTGTCACGAAAAACGAGGAACTTAAACATCAAATATATATATAGCTCCAACATATTGTTTCTTCGTGATGATGCTAGGTGAATACTTTTTTTTGAAACCAGAGGCCATGCGCTAACTGCACTCATACAATAATGGAGAAAATCGTCGAGAAATTGTTTTTTAGGAGAAACAAAGTATATTACAAAAATCTCCTTCCGGAAAGCAAGTCATCAGGCAAATAATCAAATTAAAGCGACGAGTCAATATTCCCGAGAAGCGACGAGGCGCAGAATCCCGTAGCGACCCCCCCCCCCCCCCTAGCTACTTAATTACTATGATTTTTTCAAAGATGTGTTGGTGATATGTAATGGGCGGGGGGATAACAAGGGCTTGCACCTAGAATATACTAGTAATGCATCCCATGTCAAATACAGTAACTCTATGTACACTTCAGGTGACCCACTGGAACCATCCACAGTTTCATGCCTACTTCCCCACAGCAAACTCTTTCCCATCTATATGTACATTTCAGGTGACCCACTGGAACCATCCACAGTTTCATGCCTACTTCCCCTCAGCAAACTCCTACCCAGCTATGTGTGCTGATATTTTATGTGATGCCATTGGATGTTTAGGCTTTACATGGGTAAGTTAAGGTGATGGTTCAAGATAACAATTGGTATACCAGCACATTATTTCTTGGCACAACATAAAATATGATTTCAAGCATTTTTTGGATTTCCTTGGTTTTTTCAGGGTAGTATCATTACACTGCCTCCAAATTATTTCTAACTAACTAGTAAACATTAGATTCAACAAAGATGCTTTCCGGAAAAAAAACAAGGAAATACACCCATACTTTATTTTGTACCGGAAAATAATATGAGCAGCTATACTAATAGCAATCTTTTCAAACATTTTTTCTTGAACATGTGCCTCAAACGCAAAGTCTAGTATATTATTATCCTGACGTACAAGTGAACATGTCAATAGAAAACAAATGTCCAGTTTTAGACAGATCGTATGTTTAGAAAAAGTATAGCAACGGTGTCGTAGATTTGCTGAGTGGGTGTTTGGGAAAAAGCCAACCATCGAGACGTGAAACATTTTAAGTAATCAATGTTATTATAAGTTATTGAATGATTTGAAGTGCAATACAGGATATATTCTGCTCGAGAAATTCCGTATTGGAACGAGACGAAGTCGAGTGCCAATAAAGAATATCGAGACAGAATATATCCTGTATTGCACTTCAAATCATTCAATAACGTTTATCGTGTGATTCTCTGTATTGCTACTGAGATTGTCCCCTCCGTACCAATATTTTCTGTATTGCGACGGAGATGATCAACGGGGACAATCTCAGTAGCAATACAGATTGCTACAGCACAAGAACTGACCAATAAGAGGGCTTCATTTTACAGATCATAGCTTAAAAAATGATATCCGCATCTTTTTTCCTGTTTTGCAATGCATTGTATAATATTGCTCTCCATGACCAAACTTGGCACAGTCCCGCAACAATTACATAATATACAGGGTGGTCCAAAAAGTGAACTCTTGCAACAAGCTATATCTCATTTATTTTCGACATTAATATTCTTAATGTTTAAGAGGAAGGTCTAAAGTTTTTGTAGGTACCATAAAATGTCACCTAGTCTAAAATCTTGCAAAAGTTACAAACATGCCTGATTAACGGATAATGTGTTCAATTTATGCTCCACGGTTCTGAATAAGGAATATTGAAGTTGTCCACTGCTCAGAAACATTTAACAAATAAAGAAAAATGTATGAGAAATACAAACTATATTCCTAGATATGATGGATAGAGCAGTGCCCAACTTCAGACTTTTTTATATACTCACGAGGAGGGATCGCAAATTTGTCCGCTATGGGGGATGACACTATTTTTCATAATCAAACATTTAAAATATTTCACAATTTATTTTATAACCCACTACTTATATCCTGGATCACCCTGAATGTAACTTGATATTACCAGTATTTTAAATAAAAGAAACGACCTTTCACAAAAGTATGTAAAAATGTTCTATTGTGTTTGAATTTTAGGCTTCCAGTCCAGCATGTACTGAGCTAGAGGTGGTGATGATGGATTGGTTGGCGAAACTGTTGAATCTCCCAGAACAGTTCCTATCTGGTGGTAAAGGAGGGGGAGTTATACAGGTGGTTTAACATTCTTGTCATACTTTACATCATACTCATAGGGTTTAGATGATCGCAATAATTCATAAAACTATTTAAATGTCCCTATACTACCCTAAAACGTGACATTATTGACGTTTCGGACCCCAACGGTTGCCACCTTCAGAACTTTTATTCGACTTCCGGTTCTTGAGCACGTGCTCCCAACACTGTTGTAGAGTTGGAAATTTCCTTGTTTCCTATTCATATTTTCAGTTTCTTTGATATAGACTGCTTCTTTAATCCACCTATCCTGTCCTGTTTGTTACTGACACTGTCTATAGTACCGTTATATAGTACAGTTACTGGAGCACACATGTGTTGTGATAGCTAAGCTATACAATTCGGATTGAGATGCGGATTTGTTACCCCTCGTAAAAGGTCTGCTATTGGTATTCTTTTCAACATCTGACTTATGTTCTTTGATGCATACTTCAAGCTTTCTCGATGTTACCCCTACATATGACTTTGGGCAACTCTTTCATGGTATCTTATAAATAACTTTTGTACGATTTAAATCTTATCCTTGGGGTGTGAGGGATTACAACCATTCCTAAATTTTCTTCACTCTCTGTAACGTTAGGTTTGACCTTATTTTTTACTTTATTGATGGTGTTAAATTCAACGCTAAGTCAAATCATCATTTTAGAACATGAAATTAAATAATTTTGCATTTCACAATTTAATATATAGGGTACGGCATCAGAAGCCACATTTGTTGCACTACTGGCAGCAAGACAAAAGGCGATACAAGACTATAGACATAATCATCCTGAAATTAAAAATGGTGAAGAAGTTGCAGATAAACTTGTGGCTTATTGCTCAGATAATGTAAGTACAGAGTTCTAAGCACATACCATTTTATAAAGGTGTTCAATTGGCTTCAATTGTATTTTCTAAAACTAAAGTTTGTCCCACTCCATATCCTAGAACTGTTAAATCACTTTGACTTTGTATGGAAATCGAAAGGATGTCCCTTAGAGTGTCTAAAATCTAGATTTGGAATATACCGCTAAGCGTTAAGGTCAGACTGCATTTTCTACCATTTTGTACTTTTTTCAGATGAACATAACTCATTCCAAACACGGCCTAAATCTTTCATTTTTCATAAAAGGTGCTTTAGTGTACCCAGATTATTAATTGAGTGTTAATTTTGCTTTAAAATATTATAAATAACTAGAAAATTGAGCGGTCTTCTATTCAAAATAGTAAACATTTCTCATCATGCATTAATTGTCACACTCTTGGTTACAGTCTCATGTCTCTGTTGAACGAGCTGGTCTTCTTGGGCGTGTAAAAATAGTACAACTGCCTGCTGATGACAAACAGAGTTTACGCGGGGACACACTCCAAGAGGCTATCAACAAGGACAAATCAATGGGACTCATACCATGTTTTGTAAGTATTTATAGACCTACATGTAATCCAGGAACCAATCTATCATAAGGGCAAAGCAATTGCAGGTGCAGGCCCGTAGCCAGGGGGGGGGTTCGGGCGAACCCCCCTGGCCAAAATTTCTTTCAAAATCATGCAGTTTTTCACCATTCTGACTATTTTTTGAGTGATTTTTGGCCAAATTTGCCAAAGTGAACCCCCCCTAGAATTTTTGGGAAAAGTGAACCCCCCTTGGAAAATTCTGGCTACGGGCCTGAGGTGGGACTTATACATACAGACCAAGTTTTGTTATATCTGTAGTGAAACAATCTATAACAAGGACGAAATACATGTTGTAATGGGATTTATAACATGTCTTGTAAGTCTTTGTAGACCTATTTCAGGAAATTATCTGTCACGCGAACAACGTAATGGGGTTCATACTTTTAAGTCTTTATAGACCCGACTCAGAAAGCAAACAATAAGATGGACACGGCACAAGTAGTTAGAGAATTCTATTAGAGCATGGAACAAACCCCTCACAAACATTTCCAAACCATTTCAACCCATCGTTTGGTTTTAGGTATGTGCAACGTTGGGGACAACAAGCTCGTGTGCCTTTGACAACATTAAAGAACTAGGGCCGATATGTAAGTCAATGAACAAATATTTTTAATTTGCAATAACATTTTTCATAAAACTGCTGTACCTTTATACCGATTGTCAAACAAACCATCCACAGCCACTATACAAATGGTCATACTGAAATCACAATGTGCGCAGTATATAATCATGGACGACGGGCGAAAATTGATTTTGATCTTATAGGTGAGAAAGAAGGGATTTGGATGCATGTCGATGCTGCATATGCTGGGAGTGCCTTCATCTGTCCAGAATATAGATATCTACTAGATGGAGTCGAGGTAAAAACCTTCAAAATATTCGATCGATGACTATGTGAGACAAGCACATCCAATAGAGTATCTAGCTGTGATGCGAAACAAAGTTGCCTCACCAAAATATAATAAAAACTATTGTTCGATGCTTTTTACACCAAAAGAATCATGCCCCTCATATGAGTATAATATTCTCATCGGTTAAGGTTGCATTGCCATTTTCAACTGCATTTACTACGCCTCCATAATTCTCACAAGGACTGCTCCGAAATAGTATATGAAGGGCAAAACCTCATTAAAATGAATTATATTTCAGTATTGTATAGCTGTGTTCAGATCAACATTAAATAATGACAATAATTCCCCAATGGCCTTTGAAAACAGACTAACTGAAATTTTGCAACTATAGTGAAGTTTGTTAATACATTTAGTCTACCTGATGATCTTTTACAATTTTACAGCATGCAATGTCTTTTGATTTCAACCCTCATAAATGGTTGATGGTAAACTTTGACTGCTCAGCAATGTGGTAAGTTCTTTTTTTTCAATAAATAACTAAGCAAACCCCAAATATACCAAACGATGCTCTAACATGTAAAGAAACAATGTCCAATACCCCCCCCCTCCCCTAAACACAGACACGAATTAGGAACCGTTATCACAATCAAAGACCGCAAGACCATGGGACACTTCATTCATACTTAAGACCATTACACACTAACACACTAGATATATATCAAAATACCCGGAGATACATTTATTATACATGTACTGTAGTATTCATACAGAGAGACAGAGCACCCAGTCCCAAATGATGTGGGACAGACAGAATCCAGTCTCTAAGTCAATTGGAGTAACTAAGGGTCAACATCAATCCACTGAGCCGACGCCATGGTCCATAAAAGGCAATGATTCTCATTTTGATGAAACAGTTTATGTTTTGAACATAACATTTTAGTTATTTTGTAGGTTGAAAGACTCATCATATGTAGTTGATGCATTTAATGTTGATGCTGCATTTCTTAAGACTGGTGGAAATGATATTAAGAAAACCATGCCAGACTTCAGAGTAAGGCTTTTATTCATTTCTGTTTATTTCTTCTTAAATATTACCAGCTCCAGGCCCGTAGCCAGGGGATGGGGGTGGGGTTTCGATGGACCCCCCCCCCCTGGCCAAAAATACTTTCAAAATCATGCAATTTTTCACCATTCTGAGAACTTTTTAAGTGATTTTGGCCATTTTTGGTCCAAAATTGTCAAAAGTGAACCCCCCTGGAATTTTTCAAAAAGTGAACCTCTCCCCCTTGGCAAATCCTGGCTACGGGTCTGAGCTCCTTATCAAACACGTTCTCAAGATTAGCAGGCCATGCATCCAAACAGCACACCCTTTGAATCCTTGCAACAAGCTATATAACAGTTATTACCCACACTAATAGGCTTATACTTTCACATGTTTTAGAGGAAGGTCTATGTTCTTGTGGGTACCACAAAAAGGTCACTCATTAAATCTAGCAAAACTTACATGGCATCAACAGACATGCCTGATTTTTTGATGATGTACTCAATTCATGCTCCGTAGTTCTTGATGACTGGTGCAACGCGAATGTTGAGGGTTTTCACTGACTGATCCACCATATCTACGGGTATTTTGTATTTCCAATGCAATTTTCTTTATTTTCAAGAAAAAATTATTTCTAAAGGTTTTCGAGCAGTGAATAACTCCAACATTTGCGGTTTTTGAGCAGTTAACAACCTCAACATTCGCATTGTAGTAGTTATCGAGAACCGTGAAGCAAAGGTTGAAGTTGGTCATTGCTTACAACAATCTTTTCCTGAAAGTAAAGAAAATGCATTACAAATACTAAATACCCCTAGCTGTGCTGGATAGAGCAGTGAACAACTTTAGCGTTCGACGCGGGTTGCAGCAGTTATCCGGAGCCGTGGAGTGAATGTTGTTCACCACTGAAAAAACTTTAGATACAACCGTTTTACTAGGAAATAAAAATAAAAGCCTCAAAAATACAAAATACCCCTAGATATGCTGGACAGAAGAGTGAAAAACTTCAATATTCGCGTTGCAGCTGTCATCTGGATCCAAAGACCGTTGAGCATGGATTGAGGACATCATTAAGAAATCAGACATATCAGTTGATGCCATGTAACTTCTGCAAGACTGAAGACTGAGTGACCTTCATGTACCCACAGTAACTTTACACATTCCTCTAAAGCATGTGAGAATATCAGCCCAGTAATAATTGAGATATAGTTTGTTGCAAGGGTTCACTTTTTGAACCATTCTTGATACTACCTGTCCATTAGGCATTTGAACAGTCTTTTTACTTCTGTAAGTCATATAATTGATACTGACACTAAAACTCGCCCACGTGGCTTCTTGTAACTGGCAAGATCAGATTTATAATTGGCTTACTCACAATAAGTTATGACTGTTTTATTAGCACTGGCAGATCCCATTTGGCAGAAGATTCCGATCTCTAAAGCTCTGGTTTGTTTTGAGACTGTATGGCGTGAGAGCACTTCAGGATATTATTCGGAAGGTTTGCACAATCCATTTAATCAACAAGTCATCTAGATATTTAGTTTTGTTTTCAAGGCAAACACAAGAGAATCCCATATATGAATAATATCAAACAACTGCACAATGAATCAAAAATTGAAACTGATCATTGGCGGATCCAGAAGCTAACAGGGGAGGGGGGCAAATTTTGAGTCAGTTTCCAGAAAAAATGTTGGGCCCTTAAAAATTTAAGACCCATTTTTGAAAATGTGGCTTAAAAAGGGCTAAAAAGCCAAATTATGCCAAAAGGGCCCATTTTTGAGGCCATACAAAAGTTCTGGGCCTAAAAAATTTTTGGGCCCTAAATGTTTTTCTAGGCCCACAAAGAACAGCCACTGCTGATTTAATACATTTGGTGTTGCATCTTTTAAATACAGCAAATTGCACTTGCCCATGAGTTTGAAGGCTTGGTGGTAAAAGATGGAAGATTTGAGATTGTTGCTGAGGTCATCATGGGACTGGTGTGCTTCAGAATGAAGGTACATACCTGGCTTTTATTATGTATAAATATATATATTAAGGTATATAACTGATAAGTAAATTGAGTGTGTATTGTCACCACTCAAATGACGAGATTTAAGCAGTTATCAAACTGTATAGACCTAAAGACCAAGGCCTTAAGATTTAAGCAGTTAAAATTTTTACCTTTTTGCAGGGACCAAATGAACCAAACGAGAAGCTTCTAGAACTTATCAATAAAAATGGCAGAATCCACCTTGTACCTGGAAAAATCAAATCAACATATTTCATCAGATTTGCTGTATGTGCAAAATCAACTGAATCCAAGGATATCGCGTATGCCTGGAGTGTCATAGCTGAACTGGCTACTAGAATAATAAGTGAAAACAAACGATGATATTCCATGGATTTACGCAACATTTGTTGTATAATATACAATATGACTAAATTATTGGCTCCTGTAATTCTCAAATTATGAAAATCCAAGGATATCGCGTATGCCTGGAGTGTCATAGCTGAACTGGCTACTAGAATGATAATTGAAAACAAACGATGATATTCAATGGATTTACGCAACATTTGTTGCATAATAGACAATATGACTAAATTATTGGCTCGTGTAATTCTCAAATTATAAAAATTTTGACATTTTGAGAGATTATAAACTTACCTCTTTCAAAGGCAATTAACATTATTATTCCAAATTAATTCAAAACATATAGAAGAATTGAATGAAACAATAGAAACTGAAAAATTAATTGAAACGCATAGGACTAGAATAAATGAGGAAATATTTTCGCAGACTAACAACTTAACATACAGTTTTTACGATTTGAAATTGCTAGTCACATAATATACAGCACATCATTGGAAAGCTTATCTTGTCTTCTTCAATCTCCTTTCTCACAATGCTCATATTAAGCTGTGTGCCTACTTAGGCATGCAGTTTGTTTCGATCACAAACTGCGTGCCTAGCAACATTGCATCATAAAACTTGGGATTCTGTGCTTTCAAACGTAATTTTATGATATTTGTACTGTTTTCTAGTTTTTTAAAGTATTAAACGTGTTAAAAGTACAGCTGTGGCTATTAATACCGTTAATTACAGCCATGGCTATCCATTGCTGTTAAGTACAATCATGGCTATTAATGCTGTTAATTACAGCCGCTATTTGTATTTGTAATTTGATATGATAATTTGTAATAAAATAAACTGAATAACAAAACATGTCACATCTGACATACATTTTGGTTTTTTATACATAAAGGAGCATGTAGGTTATCGCAAACAATTTCAAACGATTCTAACTTGAATTATGAATATTTTTTGATCATGAACATGGGTGTATCTTTTAGATCTATTCATTATCTTCAAGAAAAGTATATATAATGATAATTTGGTTAATCAGACCTAAGTGATATTGAAGGGGCAATGGACCAATCAACATACTTTTTCAAAAATGTTGACCTAATTTTCACCAAAAATGCAACCTATTATTATATTGTTGATTGCATAATTAGAATGTGCTTTGAGACATGGTCCATTTCCTAAAAGGAAAATTTGATTGCTCCAGGGACTTTAAAGGTATTCAACTTGGATGACCAAAATGAACTGAAACCAATGGATAGCATGAGATTTTTCAATGGAGAAATAACATGGGGAACACTTATCTTAATGCAATTAAGTTTTTCTTTCAAGAACTATTTGATACATCAAAATAAAGAATAGTAATGCATTAAACATTGTAAAAAATGATTGCATTTTTGGTGAAAATGGGGTCAACATCTTCAAAATGGGGTCAAAAAGTGTGTTGTTGGGGTCAAAAAGTGGGTTAATTGCTAGTTAAATATCTCCGAGTTTGTTTGAATTTATTATTACTGTGCATAATTTTCTTTGAGATAATGAATTGATCTAAAAGATAAACTTGTCTTCATTGTCAGAAAATAGTCATAATCCAAGATATAACCTTCTGAAATTGTTTGTGATAACCCAAGTGCTCCTTTATTCCTTTTGTTAACAATAATAGACATGGAATTGATTGCCAAAGTTTTATATAAAAACTCAGCGGCAATAAATTTTAGTATCTATAGGCTAAGTATAGGATGTATAACATATTTATGAGTGATTGAGAAAGACTAAGGGCTATCATTATTTTACAATTCGAAGTCCCAAGTTACTCCTAATTTTGAATTTTGGAGGGACCTCTGAATCTGAAGGATTTTACCTGAACTTCTATCACAAAATGGTTGTTATTAATCAGACTGTTATTCTATTAACTGATATTTTTCACAAAGTTATATTTGATTGAAAACTTTTTAAAACGGTGCATTCTTCTTTACTTAACTTATAATTTATTTTTATGTCTTACAAGATCTCCTTATTGAGAGCACATTGCTGGATATAGGATTTCTCATTTATAACGACGTCAATCTATGGTGAAAAGTCACACTCACGATTTTGGGAGTTGTTCTATTCAATCTTCTTTAACTTTTTACCATGTTTGCGAAATTCTCTACTTACATTACACCTCCAAATGTTTGGTATGATAATAACGGAAAATAAAAAAGATATAATTGATAATGGACCATGCACCTTTTTTCTTTGCAGAGGGTAAGCAGATTCTTTAAATAGTATTTTTGTCATCGATTTAACGAGAATTTACACATAAATCGATGTAGCACGACGTTATGGAAAAATTTGGAGGCATTGGAAATGAAGTCAAGTTACATTTCCATCAATAATATAAGTATTTTCCTCACAGGATATGTAAATAAAAATTCAAACATAAAGAGGCTTTAACACGTAGTTCAATGAGGGAGCTTAGGTTGCCAAACTTATGGAGAGTGTAGGGCCCTTATATTGAGAAGTTTATATCGGGAAAAACATTGAATAAGTGAGAAAATTAAGTTCATCTTCACAGAATGGCAATATCTAATGAACAAAACTAACCTTGTATTCATAGTATTCTGGGTCATTTTGGGAATCGTGCACACAGGAAAATTACATCGGACCCCGTACAAGCCCGTACTGAGCCCGTATTAGTCTCGTAATTGCTTGTAATTTTCGAGCCTCGTAAGAGCTTGTGATTACAAGGCCCGTAAAAGCTCGTAATTTTCGACCCCCGTACTTGACCGTACGGTGCCCGTAACGATCTCCGTTATAAATCGTAATTTTCGACCCCCGAACTTGCCCGTACGGTGCCTGATACGAGGCACGTAATAGCTCGTAATTTTCGAGCCTTGTCCTTGCCTGTGCGATGTCCGTAACAATTAAGGCCCGTAATCGGCTCGAAATTTTCGAGCACTGTACTTGCCCGTATGGTGGCTCGTAACGAGGCTCGTAATTGATCAATTATTTTGATGAACACCTTTTGATCGATGAAATAAAATACAGCATACTTGAGAAATTACATTTTAATTATATCTAATTATGAATTATGATGTCTTCAATATTAATCTCAAAATATTCGCATGTCTGTATCAACATGATAAACAGTATAAAAGCTAGGAAACAAAATAAACAAGCGGGTTCAAATAGGAGACACCATATTTCTCTACAAGTAAAGTTAATGCATATAAAACATTTGCGTACGTTGAAATGTGATATATCACAGATTGATAAATAATATTGTTATCGGATGTGTGGTAAATGATTCAGTCATGGCATGTTTTTAGGGGAAAGGACAAAATATTATGTTACACACTCAATCAAATATGATAAAATTTTTAATATGGGTCAATACTGAATTGAAAAAAATTACTTGCATAGAAAACAGCATTTGAATTTCAAAGATCAAAAGAGTGAATTACCACTTTTCACAAAGTGTATGTTTTAAATAACTCTTGGATTAAAAGATGGCGTATGGTTGAAAATCCTATCAAAAATGAATGGATAATTAATGCCATCTTTCAATGGCATTGCTAAAAACTTGCTAAAAAAGACATAATATAAATGGATAGATCGAAAATATTTTTTTCATGATCTAGTGTCAACTCTGATGTGATCTGTTAGAGCTGTTTTTGATGTCAAATGAAAGATCAGATAATTATTAATCCAATGGAAATACTATGAAGATCAAAAGTGAGACTTCATTTACGCATTTTGTTCTTTTAAGCATGACATAAAATAATAATTTTTGCGCTGTAAAAGAGCCCGATAACTGGCCTCGTACGAGGTCATACGGGCCTCGAAATTACGAGCATCGCACATGCTCGTACGGGCCTCGAAAACAACAATTACTAGCATCGTACGAGCTACTACGGGCCTCGAAAACGAGCTCCGTACGAATGTACGAGCCCGTACAAGGATCGTGCTCCTTTTTGCCCATGATGACTTGTAATTCTCGGGGCTCATACGAGCTCGAACGGGGCCCGATGTAATTTGCATGTGTAGCATGATAAATAAAATGTAATCAAAAATCAAACATAACGCATTGAACTTTGGGAAAAGATGACGAAAATCTTACAGACTGACAATATAACATGAATGTACAAGCACCTTATCAAAATGTTCTCAAAGTCAACCTGGTAAAACAACAATTCGCGATCGGTTTTTGGTTACCCCCCGGTTCGGGGTAAATCAGAAATCAGGATATCTATTCAGTAAAAGATTCAGCAAAAAAAATTATATCGAAAATTGAATTGTCTAACTTTTTTGTTCACTAAATGTTTAGTTTACTTGATGAATACTAAAGTTACAGAGCTTCAAAGTCATTTTTGAAAATCAATGGGAGAGGTTTTTTGAAAAACAATTTTGACTTTAAAAGCCTATAACTTTGTTGAACCTGAAGAAACGTATTAATTTTTTGTTAAAAAAAGTTAGGAAATTCAATTGCCTACCTAACTTGTATTTTTTGCAAGGACTCGGATGGATGGATATTCTATCATATGACTTGCGACAAGCCTACCATTTCCCATTGGTCAACATGGAAATGTCGATTTTCAAAAAAATCATCAAAATCATCAATTTTCGACCTATTGTAATTGAGGAAAAAATTGAGAATATTTGGAGGTATTGGAAATAAAGTCAAATTACGTTTCCATCAAAAGTATAAGTATTTTCATAGCAGGTTAAAGTTAATAAAAATTCAAAGGTAAAGATGCTTTAACACTTAGTTCAATGGGGGAGCTAAGGTTGCCAAACTTATGGGTGCATCTTTAAAATGATATACAGGGTGTTAAAAAAACGCAACCCAAAGAAATCGCTATATCTTGGAAAATACTAATCCAATTGTGTTCATATTATCAGGAAAGAAAGAAGAGACTGTGTATGTGTAGCTCCTTTCGTTAGTTAGTTGTAAAATATGATGTCTTGGACACTTGCTCAAAAGACAGTTGTACTAGCAAAATACGAAAAACGTGAATGGAAAATCACTATATCTCGGAAAATACTAATTCAATTATGTTCATTTTTTCAGGAAAAAAACGAAGAGACTGTGTATGTATAGCTCCTGTTGTCAGAAAGTTGTAAAACATGATGCCTTGGACACCTGCTCAAATGACAGTTGTTCTAGGAAAATATGAAAACGCAGTCAGAGGTGACTACCACAGCAATAAAACCAAATAACTTTCTAACCATGGTGTTTTGGCACTTCAGATTTAGGACAAATTATCCTCATTCAATGTGTGGTGGATTTGTGGAGTTTCATCAAAGTCACTCCAGGGACTTTACAGTCATGGTCAAAATGCCTTCTTAAGTCTGCCTGAACCATGGCGTTCAGGCAGACTGAAGTGATTTTGAATGCACTCTCCAGATTTACTGTACAGTGAATGGAGATGATTTGAGCCAAATTTCAAGAGCCAAAACACTATGGTTAGAAAGTTATTAAATTTTTTTGCGGTTGCTATCACCGCTTACTGCGTTTTTCGTATTTTCCTTATACAACTGTCTTTTGAGCAGGTGTCCAAGGTATCATGTTTTACAACTTACTAACAAAAGGAGCTATACACAGTCTCCTCTTTCTTTCCTGAAAATATGAACATAATTGAACAAGTATTTTCAAGATATAGCGATTTCTTTGGGTTGCATTTTTTTAACACCCTGTATAATACATTGCATGGTATAACTCCCAAGAGTTTTCTCCCCCTCCCCCTATTTTTGATATTACCAAATTACCTATATCCAGATCTAGAAAAGGTATGTACCCACGTTGTACACAAAAAATCCCCCTAAGTTACTTTGACCTACTTTTGACCTCTCTTCAACTCTAGCTGGAAACGCCAGGTTGGCCATCTGAACCCCCATGTCCGTTAGTGTTATGAAAATACGTTGTCCACATTAGAGTTAAATAGCGATAAAATTACCGAAAACAATGCTTTTTTCGACGCATTTTAAAAATGGGCATTCGTTCAGTTTCATATCTAGACTAGTACCTGTTACTTAAACTCTTGGCTAGGAAGTTGTTTCTATGGAAACTATGTCATACTAACTTAGTTGATGCGTTAAAGTTTTTTTTAATATTGTGGACCTTTTGAAAAAATTCAGTTACAGGTCAATAAAAATATTAAGGAGGGCATGAATGTGTCAGAGACTTTTCAAATCTACCATTAAAACTCCTGTTTTTCAAAATCTGTCGCATTTTTTTTTAATTTTTCGATTATGAAACAAAATATTTTTTGTATCCTACCCCAACGAAAAAATAAAAACAAATCAAGGATACACAATTCAAGATGCTGTCAATGTCCTCATTTTGTTATGACAAGCATTCAGCACTTCTTTTTCATCCTTATTCATGTGTAAGTAGGTTTGTCCATATCGAGTTAATCAAGTTTATTTACACGTCATACATAAATGACTCACCACACTTGGGGAATTTATTAATTTATTGGTTGTCCTCGAACATGGATGGCGCAGAATTTAGGCGAAGGGGAAAAGAGATGATAGGTTATGTCGCAGATTATTTAGAAAACATTCAAGAGAGACGTGTGTTTCCAACTGTTGAGCCAGGGTATCTGCATCAACTTATTCCTGACCATGCCCCTCAAGAAGGGGAGAAATGGGAAGACCTCTTTAAGGATATAGAGAGGGTCATTATGCCAGGGGTGAGTACTAATAGACAAAGAGCGGGTCATTATGCCAGAGGTGTGTACTATGAAGTGGGCAAAATGTCTATAACTTATGAATGGCGGTCATTCTGAAAATAGGAGAGTCACAGAGGTGTTTTCTGTATTGATGTTGAATAAATAATAAGTCAAATCGGGAATCCTATCGACAGAGGTTTTAAAATGTGCCAAAGACAGACGGGCAGACGGACGGGCGGACGAACGGACGAACTGTCAACCGGCCACTTTCTGTACTCGTGCCTGGGGTAAGTCGACGCACCTCACTGCAAATATTTTAGCTGTTCGAATATGCATTTTGGAATGAATAAAAAATAACTTGAGGAATTTAAAAACAGCTAGCAATCTTTCTGTGGCAAAACTCAAGGGCTGCGTCGAAACGCGTAGCTACCCCCAAATATTAATTTCCCTTAAAGATGTAGGTGGCATTCAACATGCATTGAAGATCGGTCATTCCCATGTACTTTACATGTACACTGCAGGTGACGCACTGGAACCATCCACAGTTTCATGCCTACTTCCCCTCAGCAACCTCCTACCCGGCTATATGTGCTGATATTCTATCTGATGCCATTGGCTGTCTAGGCTTCACCTGGGTAAGTCAAACGCATAGTTTAGTATTAGTGGAGTCAGTTAGGGCAATAAAACCTAGAATCGCACATTCTAAACCGCTATCAATACGACTTTATTAAAGTGTTCTTTTCTTATAAAGTCTACAATTAGATTTTCTAATATTGCAGATTTCTAGTTAAACCAACTCTTAAAAGTCAAACAGGCACATTTCTAAGAATTTTCTTATTTCTATTACAATTGCATACGAAAAAAAAAAAATTCCATAGCATACTAGTAGACTACATATAATAGTGTTGCCCTCTATATTCACGGTTGGACAATTTTTTGGTGGGATCGCAAAGGTTGTCCCCCTATATAAGAATATCTCACAATTTATCAGTCAGAGGTTACATTATATCAAAGAAAATATAATTTGTGACTAACATTCACCTAGAGTTACGGCCGGTGTCCTTTTCTAAAAAAAGAATGGGCATTATCCGCTACGGGGGACCAGGTTCAAACATGAAAATCAGTTCCCCTTAGCAGACAAGAAAATTAAATATTTTGACCCATTAAAAGATAAAAAGTAAACCGTACATTTTAAAGTATGGTACGCTAGCGATATTGGATTTCCAAACAGAATCAAATGTTACTAGCAAATGATATACTCATTGCATGGAGTGGGTTCTTTCATTTAATATAACGAAATATCTAGAGTTAAATCTTTAGTTCCCACAACGTGATATTGATTCCCATAATACAAGGGCGTTATCTTGATGAAAATGCATTTACAAATCCTGTCAAAATCTTATTTTCTTGATATGCAATGTCTAGATATTCTATTTTAAAAAGAAAATAATTAATATTAAAACATTACTTAAATAATTCTTATTCTATATATCCTAATCGTTTATGTTTCACTGCAGCATTTTGCTTGTTGGATAATATGCTATAGATGGAGTGCAAAAGCGGGCCCTTGAATGAAGTATGAGTGTATATTGTATGTATTTGCCCATATTTGTCTGAAGAAGCAAGCACTACTCTCAAAAGGATGTCAATAAAAACATTCTGTTGTTATTTTCAGGCTTCCAGTCCAGCATGTACTGAGCTAGAGGTGGTGATGATGGATTGGTTGGCCAAACTATTGAGTCTCCCAGAACAGTTCCTATCTGGTGGCAAAGGAGGGGGAGTTATACAGGTAGTTCAACGTTTATTGTCATACATTACAATAAGGGGTTCAGATGATCGAACGTTTATAAAAATATGTTCAAGCATAGCTAGACAAGGTGTTTCAAATTCAAATTTTTCAATTGGTTTTCAATTTTTGGTTACCTCTACAGTATGTCGCTCTACTTTACCTAACCCCTAGAAATGCATAAGATACTCTGTTTGTCTAATTGTATTGTTTAGCAAATTAGTATATTTGAAAGTACCTTATTAACATCTAACAGTCATTCGATAAACCATTGATGAGGAACAGACAAATAAAAACAAGTAACATAATCATTACTAATAAGCCAAATGAGTTGCTCATGAACACCAAATGCCATGTATAGTAGAGTGTATATACCACTCTCATGATTGACACGGTGCAATTTTCTGACTTCTGAAATTAGAATTTGTACTTTGTCGCATATGCTTATTCTGCGGGTGGCTGCTTTTTGTGTCCCTGGCGTTGGTTTGTCCCGACTCGGCTAAGAAGAAGTAACGATGAAAGTCATTTAAAAAGCTTCACTTTGAATATCAATAAATGAGCATCATGACAAGGTCAGCGGGGTCAGCGGGGTCAGTGTGATCAATTCATCACTCAAGTTATCATTTTTAACATAGAACTAAATCCTTTTGCATATGCCAATTTAATTCATAGGGTTCAGCAGGAGAAGCCACACTTGTTGCTCTGCTGGCTGCCAGACATAAAGCTGTACATGACTACAGACAAACTCATCCTGGAGTTAAGGATGATGAAGACGTTGCAGTTAAACTCGTGGCTTATTGCTCAGATAATGTAAGTATACAGAGTACCTAGTACTCTAGTATAGCCCTGTAGCCAGGATGAGGCAGACGCGAGGCGCTTGTCTCGTCGCTTTTTACCATACTTTGAGAATTATTCATCAATGTATTTGCCATCAGTCTTCATTCAACTGAGCATTATCATATAACGTAAGGGTTATCATCATGTCTTTGATTGCAATCATCGAGCTAAGTTCGTAATTTACCTAATTTTAGATTTATATTTCTGACTGAGCTACATAGCCGCCATTTTTGATATTTTTCGCCTCGTCGCTTTTTTCTTCTTGGCAATGCCGCTGAAGCACATACCCTTTTTACACAGGTGTTCACTAGACTTGTTCACTTGCATGTTCACTTGGAATGAGGTACAAAGCCTTATTATGATAAGCCCTTATAGCTAGTTATTTTCGAAAAGAACGTTTGTCTCACGCCCTATCCTATAAGTGTATAAACAGCCCCTTTACTATGGACGGAAATCGAAAAAATGTCCCCAAGAATGTTTTGCACCTAAACTTTTATAATAGACCCCAATGTTATTTCCGACCATTAATTAACCAACCATTGTTAACAGGCACATGTCTCTGCTGAACGAGCTGGTCTTCTAGGGCACGTGAAAATAGTAAAACTGCCTACTGATGACAATAATAGTTTACGTGGGGACATACTTCAGGAAGCAATAAACAAAGACAAGGCAATGGGACACATACCATGTTTTGTAAGTATTGTAGGAACTTTCGCCGATCTTGTAAACACAGTTAATCATAAATGTCTCTACATTATAGTAGTGTGATTCTCTCTCCTATAATTCCTAATTGTGGTAGCATAACTCACTTTCTCTCTCTGCTCTGGGTTATCTTTTCCTTTACTGCCCCAGCTCTCTTAGCTCTGGCGATCCTCGTCATAAATGCTCCAATACTCTAATCCACTGCTCTTCAACTCCCAACTCTGGGATACCTATCCTCAGCTCAATGTAGAATTCTCTTTTTCTCCAGGCTCTCTTAGCTCCGACTGTCTTCTCTCAACTTCCGCAGACTCTCTCAGCTTTAGTTATCTTCTCTCCACTTCTGCGGGCACTCTCTGCTCCGGAAGATATTTTTCACTGCTGTAGGAGAAATTTCTCTACTCCGGATCGTCATCTGAAGGTGACGTGATGATTGGCAGACAAGATCACGTCACGAATCACGTTCCAAGTATCACAATGCAAAAGCAGTTACTCAGATGCGAGTTGGTAGTTATCAGCTTCGCCACCAGGTGGCTTATTCGGGGGAAATAACATGGCAGGGTATTACAAAATTCCCTTAAACTTGAATATTCATCAGTTTAAGTGGTTCACTTTTCATATTACCCTAATGTATCTGATAGTTATACAAATCAAAATATGTCCAGTAAAACAAAATATTATCTGCCAAACACAAGAAAAGATATTTCCATTTTTGTGATTTTACAACATGGGGGCTATGGGGAATCTCCCCGACCTAGAAGTCACCTTTTCAAAGAAAATTAAATTTTCAAAGTTGAGAAACTGTTTTTAAAACCATATTTCTAGATGTAATTTTACATGTAGATTCCAAATATGACATCAGTTTGACTTAATTTAGAATTTTTAATGACGTAAATCAAGATTACTTCTACTCGCATCTTGGCTATTGGTAGGGGTGGTCAATTCCGCCTCCGAATCCCTGACATCACTCACAAACGCCAAAAGGAATAATCAGACAAGCCCCCAAAAGCTCAGATCAACTGCATAGAAGGTATTTAACGTATGATTACCAAAAAGGTCAACAATTAAAGTTACCACGGACGTTGTCTCAGTAACATCCTACCTTCTCCCTCCAATGGATATCGCAAGACTTCTGCTACTACTGCCTGACAACGTAAAATAACAACCTATAAACACCCGAAGAGACCCAATTCAGTCCCCTATTGCTAACTCATCTGCTTTTCCAGGAGCGATTTACATTTGCTGCATGCTGTCACTCATCTGAAAGTTCCAACTGCCTCGTGATCAAATTGCCTATACTTTTTAATATATATTTGAATTCAGTGAAAAGTTTTCCACAATGATAACTTCGATTTATACAGTTATGAATTATTTAAATCATTTTTCATGATTTAGGTATGTGCAACCTTGGGTACAACAAATTGCTGTGCATTTGACAACATAAAAGAACTTGGGCCTATATGTAAGTCAATGAACAAAACTTTTTAAGGAATACTTTTTCTAATTTACAAAAAACAGCTATGCCGAAGTATGTATTACTGTGTTAGGCTGCTGTCCTTATATAATTACACTAATTTGTCAAGTAAACAATCCACAACATATATGTAATATACGTAGTATGGAAGACTTTAACAACAATAATTTCTTGGTGAGGTGAGGTTGAGACTTACATAATAGTCAATTTACAAATACAGTATGTTAACAAATACAAAATGTTACAGTTTACACTGTGGCTAGTCGATCTATGAGGATGCAGTCAGGCACATGTAATGTTTCATGAGTACCCGCCTCTGTACTTTTCAATGGAAGAATTTTGCTCTTCTGTTTAAATAATCTATATTTACTCATCCGTGTATATCATACTTCATTGATTTATAAAACCAAAGCTACGCTATAAACACACATTCTCTGATATTTTTACGGAGAATAGATAACTCAAACGAGTTCACTCGACCAGTTTTATCATCTCGCTCACAGCTGTGAGAAGGCTGTATAATTTGCCATAGGTTTACCTTGTAATGGGGAATAAAGAATTCAAGTAATATAATTATTTCACATATACACAAATATGTCTGTGTGAAGTAAATTACAAATACAATGCGTTCTATAATATTTTTGGGGTTGTGGTATAAAATATCCGCTTTAAAAAAGCAATTTAATTATGATGTATCATGTGGATTAGTAGACGTTCTGATTGGATTCATTGAACAGACTGGCTAGGTTTCAATTGAATCATTTTGAATGTGTGTATTTTTAATATTTTAATCCACAGTGTCAAAAAACAATAATAATGCTATATTGGTAATTGGAAAGATTCCACTTACCACGATTTCAAAAATTGTAAATAGATAATATTATTCTTGAATTATGGCCATTTGTTTCAAGGAATCTGGAGGCTCGTTCAGCTGAGCTGACAAAATCATCAAGATTTACGGATGGTACATCTGTTGGCTGCTCATTGTCATTTTCAAGGAATGTTAATGGCTCTGAAACTTGTAGCCTTGCCCAAGTCGGTATTTATTTACTTGATCTGATCTTGAATTATTACAACCTTAAACAATCCAATGCAGCATCGCTGATATTATGCTAAGTTATTCAGCGGTTTCGAGATTATCATAATACCTAGGCTACCTAACGGTATCGCAAAACCATATTGATTGACAATATGGACATGGACACAACGTGTGACTTCAGGCTGATTGACCAATCAAAACGTTATCAGGTTGACCTGCATAAAAAAGCAAACTACCCATCTAGGACTTGAAATTCAATGATCTGATCGAGTGTTTCTTGAGAGTTACAATATATTATGTTATTAAATGTACATTGGAATGTAAGCAGTCATTAATACTCGTCTAAATGAAATCATGCAATTCAATGTTGATTCAAAATCAAAACTGAATTCTCGAAGAAATGCACGAAGACCTAGTCCGGCAATGTAGGCTCGTCGTTGATTTGTCAAATTGTACCGACAAAAACATTGGGTCGGTAAAGCACGTGGCTTTCTCTAAGGTACAAGGTGGTCATAATAGAAATCAAGATAAGTAAAAGAGACCGACTTGGGCAAGGCTATGAAACTTGATTTGTGGGTATTCCAGTGGGTCGATGGGTCGTTTGCTCTGAATTCACTTCATTGGCGTACCTAATTTCAACATTTTCATTGTCATCATTACATGTTATGGACCCGTTTTTCAAATTAACAGTATTAGCGATAAAACCATAGTTTTTGGCTCACACAGTAAGCCTATGGGATCGACCAGGCGTCCTTCCATTGGTCCGTCCGTTGGTCCGTCCGTCTGTCAACATTTGCTGCACAAATTAAAACTGCCATTCGGATTGAGTCATTTCCACATTTATTTTATGCATATCCATAATGTCTATTTGACCTATCATCGCCATTTCCCAAGTTCGCCCGGTTTCCGAGAAATTGCTGAATTTTAAATTTCGAGAAAAATCGATCTGATGATAGCCTTATAGAAAGTCAAGAGAAGTGAAGAAAAGATTGAAAAAATACCAGTCCAGTCCATTTCCAGGTCCAAGTCCAGGTCCAAGTCAAGGTCCAGTTCAGGTCCAAGTCCAGATCTAGGTCTAATCAGGTTTTATCTAGGTCAAAGGTCAAGAACTAGGTCAAATCCAGTACTTTGTCATTTTTTCAATTTTCTCAGTCGTCCTTCAATATTTTTGCTCCGTTTTTTTAATCATGTTCCTTGGAAAAAAGCTAATCCCTACAGGCAAGTTGTTTTTGATCACTCTTACCGTTTTTGAGATATGGCATCCGAAAAGTCGGTCACAATAAAAATTTCTTGGAATTCAATGTATGAGTTATGAAATATGTGTAGAATTGTCCAAAGAATCCGAATCTTTCCGACTTTCGGAAGTTATGGCATTTTGAAATCTCAAAAATCGCTATTTTGGTATCCCATGTTAAGTCAATGGGGCTTGAGAAAATTATCAATTGTAACAACACAACACTAGATACAGCTTGGATGCTCCCAACTTAATAAGAATCTACAATAGAAGCCGTCCTCAAAATCTACTTTCCTTCAAAATTTGGACACTAAAAGGCCTAGGTCAAAATCTAGGTTAAATTCATAGTTTTTCCTTTGACTACAACAAATCATATCTGAACCAACAACAAAGGACTCATCTTTCATTGATCTCATATTTACCAATACTTTTGTTTGAACATCAGGATATACATTCCTCTGAAGGTTCTACACTGTGTGAGCAGGACCGTGGGTCCTTTATTTCATCTGTAATGGCATTTTCCAGTTGATGGGTTTATATATAGTATTTTCAATTTTTCATGAGGGTCGTCTTTAAACTACTTGTAATGGGGTGGCTAATTACTTTAATGAGTAAGGAATGTTTATCCGAACAATGCATACAAAGAAAATCTGGCCAGTTGTCCATCAGTAAATAAATCATCATGATAAAAGTATAATTCATTAAAGCATCCATTTGTTACCGTTCTGAATCCAAATGATACATAGGTGCATCCATTTTATACATATATGTTGACGTTTACGAAATGTTTTTCAAATATCTTCTCTATAACAGGAATATGGTAGCTGAAAATTTCACACATTGTCATACTATGTATATTGAATATGTATGCAAGATTTCAAGTCACAATGTTAAGTAGAAACTCTGAGATCACTTACCTCGATTTGCTGTCATATTTTTGCAATGATCCCATTCCCTATAATGTACGCGAGTACCCACGATACATTACATATAAATGACTGCATCCACATAGATCGACTAGCCACAGTGGTTTATACTACAATAGTATCTACCCAAGTTATCTATCTAAGTTATGCATTAAGTCATAAATACAGTCAAGAGATCATATAACTTATACAGGGTGAAATGTTTTTGATCTTATAGGTGAGAAAGAAGGGGTCTGGATGCACATTGACGCTGCCTATGCAGGAAGTGCCTTTATCTGTCCAGAATATAGATACCTACTGGATGGTGTTGAGGTACACGTTTTCAAAATACACGATCGTTCATGACTGTGAAACACACAAATCCCATGGCGAAGTCAGCTATGAGTCCAATTCAATACAAAATATTGTGATGATCGCACAGGCGCCGATAGGCTTTGAGTTTGAAAGAGAAATCGTTGAGAAACTTTAAAATCATAGTATTGGCAATTGCGATTTTCCATTTTTGATATTTTTTATAAGTATCCCTCAGCAATCAGACGTAGTAAACTAACTTACTTGATAACTTCAGAATTTATATTTTTGTGCTCAGAGGGCTAACACTATTGGTAATCAAGCATAGTTTTACATTTAAAATAGATTCTCTCGACATATTAAATCGAGGCTATCTGTATTACATTTTCACTTGCGGAATATGCCATACTCACCTGCGGAATATGCCATACACTGCAGGTGAGCATTGCAGTCCATAGGCGAGTACTAGTATGGCATTTTCACCTTTAAAATCACCTGACCTACGCCTCCAAAATTCTCAAAAGGACTGTAATATTAAAACCGAAATAAAACTGAATGTCAAAAACTCATTAAAATTCAGAATTCAGTATTGTATTGTCTTGTTTAAAACATCATGTACATAATATATACCGACAATATATCCCAAATTGAAAACACCACAAATAGAATTTTGAAACTACATGTATATTGAAGTTTGTTTATTTATTCATTTATTTACCTGGGGATGTATCATACTTTTACAGCATGCAATGTCTTTTGACTTCAACCCTCATAAATGGTTGCTGGTAAACTTTGACTGCTCAGCAATGTGGTAAGTTCTTCATTTTCAATAAATAATCAGAATCCAATACATATATATATATGGATGTTTTGTGTGAACAAGAGCCAATGAGTGAATTCCAAAAGATATTAAAACAGAGCAAGAAAATGAAACATTTACGAGTATAAAAAAGTCATAAGGAAAGTAACCCAAAATATCCCAAACTATGATCTAACATGTAATGAAACAATGTCTATGTCTATTGCATAATACCTTCTCACACCACCAATCTGGAACCATTATTACAATCCAAGACCATGGCACACTTCATTCATACTGAAGACAATTACAATACGTTGAAGGATATAAGTAGAAAATATTTCTGTTATTTTGTAGGTTGAAAGACTCATCATATCTAATTGATGCATTTAATGTTGATGCTGAATTTCTTAAGACTGGGAGAAATGGTATAAAGAAAACCATGCCAGACTTCAGAGTAAGGATTTCATTCATTTTTCCTCTCAAGACCTTATCAAAACACGACCACAAGATAAAACAGATTAGGCACCCAAGCAGCATATAATATACTTTCTTACCATATAGCCCTAGATTAGTTTCTTTTTACTTTTTGTGATTTTCTACTTTTGGTACTGACACTAATACTCGTCTACTTTTTACTTTCATATAAATGTGGCTTATTGTAACTGGTAATATTAAATTTATAATTAGAGTTTACTAACATATACTCCTGCGGAATAATGGCATATTGAAAATTTTGGTTGCCGACGAGCATATGCTGTCTTTGCGATATAAACCTAAACAACCCAATAAGTGTGTATCTAGAGGGAAATCTAGGGATTAAGGATTGTGTACAGTTTATACAATTTGAGAAATTATTGGCACACATGAAACCTATATTTGAAACAGCATTTATATTATTCAAAAGCGTTGATTATCAATGATTCCCAGCCCTCTGAAGTTTGAAAAATCAAAATACCTGGGTGTTAATCCATAGATATTCGTTAAAAACAAGAAAAATTCTTTGGGATTAAATGGTGTTCTCGATTAGTCAATAAAATGTTTTAAAGTGTATTTATGTTTTTTGGGATGAAAGCGAAAGCGAAATGCATGAAAAAACAACTACCCCTCCAACACAGAAGCAATTGGACAGCATCGGGATCAAACAACTATAAACCAAACTGGAAATGCTCACTCACCACACATGGATCCAAAAGACTTTTATTTCTATGGGGACTTAAATCTGAATTCTGGGGAGGAGAAGATTTGAAAATGTAACACTCGTAGTGACGCATATGGTTTAGCAAATCTAACGGTCGTTTCTGGTGTTGCTCACCGTTTAGTATAAAATACCCTATCCCGGAATATTACTACCAGATTCATTTATGTTTACAAAAATAAGAACACTTCTGATCTTACTTTATGATCACCCTGTATACAGTTTATGGTAGTTGGTTTGCATTTTTGCAGTTTTTAACTCTGCTTAAAATCAAGTATTTTTAAATGAAGGGGTATTTCTCAGGGGAAGCCACCTACATACGCAGTAAAGATTTTGCCCTCCAGTGCCCACTTTATAACCAGTAGATAAAGAAAATGCAAGACATGACAAACATACTCGACAGCAACCATGCATCCCCTGGTTCTGCATGATTAATTAAGTTATATAATGACGGTTTTATTTTAATATATTAAAGCACTGGCAGCTTTCATTTAGCAGAAGATTCCGATCTCTAAAGCTGTGGTTTGTTTTGAGACTGTATGGCGTGAGAGCACTACAGGAGAATATTCGAAAGGTTTGCACAATCCATTCTAATCAACATTCATCTCCCTTTGAGAGAATCAACCATATATTTACTTTTACTCAAGAGAAATCAAAAGAAAAAGCATGTATGACTGGGAGAAGGAGACTGAAAAGATTTTACATGACTTATTTAATATTGATGAGTTTATTTTCGTGTTTCTGGTGAATAAAGATAAATCAATTGAAAATGTTGTAGAAATATCATTAACGTGAACTTGCTTTGGTCGTTTGAAGAAAAACCTTTGCGAATCAGACATTAGGACCGAATGAATAGTACCAGTGCAACGACAGTTCCTGGTACCACAGGCAATTCAAATGTCATGATTATCCAAGGAAATGAGTCCTATTCAAGTAGGTTACACAGATTTAATTTGGCTTTGCATTTTCTTTAAATACAGCATATTGCACTTGCCCGTGAGTTTGAAGGCTTGGTGGTAAAAGATGGAAGGTTTGAGATTGTTGCTGAGGTCATTATGGGACTGGTGTGCTTCAGAATGAAGGTTTGTAAATGTACATACCATAATTTGGTTCTGTGCCTGCTCTAAGGTATACAAGTACATTGAGTGTATATTGTAAACTCTAAAGTTATGGTGACTCAAATGTTGGGATTTAAATACTGTAGAGACCTCTCAGGAAACGCATCTTTTATCTTTTTACAGGGACCAAATGAACCGAATAAGAAGCTTCTAGAACTTATCATTAAAGATGGCAGAATCCACCTTGTAGCTTCAAAAATCAGAGCCACCTATTGCATCAGATTTTGTGTAGTTGCAAACCAAACCGATTCCAATGATATTAAATACGCATGGAGTGTCATAGCTGAACTGGCAACTAGAATTATAAATGAAAACAGACAATGATATCCCACAGATTTACACAGCATTTGTTGTATAATTATAGGATATCCTATGATTTTGAGGAATATCATTTTTATCTACGAGGTGATATTGATATCTGCACGAGAGAGCGAAGCGAACGAGTGCATATATCAATATCACCGAGTAGATTAAAATGATATTCTGAAAAAATCATAGGATGTTCTTATTATCCTACACTTACAAGGAGTGTACTGAATGTATAATATCAATGTAAAATGAATTTCATGCCAAATAGAGTCAATTTGGCGGGAAATCAACAAGCGGAGTATATCGTCACAATATCCTCCGCATATTGGGTTTTCCGGAGTATATCGTCACGATATCCTCCGCCCGGAGTATATCGTTACGATATCCTCCGGATATTCATTTTGCCAATAAATATCAAATTTATTTTTTCATGTTATTATACATTTAGTACACTAAGTGTAGGATAATATACGACAATAGGATTAGAGGATTGGTATCGATATGGCGACCTGAATTCAACGTTGAATTCAGGTCGCCATATCGATACCAATCCTCTGAATAATAAATACGGATGACATGAAATGAAAGTTTTAGAGTGAAATTCGCTTTACTTACTTAACATTTGTCTTTGAACTCAATGATCAAAGGTGTCATCGCTGGTATTTGTGCTCATTCATTCATAAGGCTCATTTAGGCCGAATATGTCACTAAATTGTGTCCAAAAATTGTTTTTTTAATATTGCTGTATTCAGGTATTGTTTCTTTCGAAAGATATTATTTGTAAGATTCCACTATTATGCTAGATATGAGACTTCAAATAAACATGCTTTAATATATTATTAAAAACAATCTGTTGAAAAATAACAACAGATAACAACCAGATATAAAGTTAAAGTTACAAAATCAACAAAGTTTGAAGAAATGGAATACTTTATTCTGTTGTTATGCACATTATCATTAACGGTCTATATGATAAACTGTAAACACTCTAAAACTCCAAATTCATGTTTGTATGTTCCAAACCCATGAGAAAACAAGTACAATATGCACAAACAAGTCAGTGGCGGGTCCAGAAGCTCACAAGGGGGTCAAAAGGCCAATTTTTGAGGCCCTACAAATTCTTTGGGGTTCTAATTTTTTCCTAAGCCCACAAAAGGGGAGGAGAGCCCTGGCCCCACGCCCCTCCCCCTGGATCCTCCAGTGCACGTGATATATGCTGTTATCTCCACACTACGTCCCTCGTTCTGGATTATACAGCACAAAGCACAATGAAAAAAGTAAAATAAAAGTACTGGACAAAAGAAATAGGCATCTGTCCAGTACAGTCGAGAACATCTTCCATTCTCTCTTAATGGCATCGACTTTTTGAGACTTCTCCTTATAGTCATGTAACTTGGTGAGATGGTTATTTATTTCATACGTTAGTTGAACAAAGTTGTACGTCTCACCTTGGAGAGGAACTTTGTTACATTGCGCTAGACTAGGATACACACCTACTATATCGAGGTCTCTAGTCTCATTGTATCTTTGACTTCTTTTTGTTGAATGATCCCCTTTCAAAAGTTTCTGAAAACATTTGAACAATCTCATTTTTAGCTGAATTACGCAAAACGTCTGTATCACATACCATACTTAAAGTAACATGGGACTGATCACAATATATCGTGTATATAACACATGATATATCGGAAAAATGATGTAAAGTGAGTGATCTTCATTTTATAGTATAATGCTATAAATGTCATATATTTACTTTGTGGAACTGCCGTATAATAAATAAAACTGTAGTATATAAATGTAAATACAAAATGTAGGTAATTTTGAATAATAAATAAAAAAAAATAAACGACAAGACGTTGTATTGCAATAAAGAAATCACAAAGGATCAACTTACAGGATCATATCTCTCTAACTTGACATCGACTTGTTCATCAGCATCATTAGAACCTCCAGTCGAATCGATAACGTCGCCAAACCTGTCCGCCAAACAAACTAGATGCGCCATTTTTATCGCCATCAATTTCAACACTCGTGGAAGTTTGTCGTTATTTGATCCTCTGTGGTAAAACTGAACGGATATAATTGATGACACGTTTGAAATGGTCAGCGCTAGCATAGCAACGGTGAAGTATTGACCTGGAATGACGGTAGTAAGGCTGCAGTTCACTGAATCAAAAAGGTAGGTTTTCGAAAACACAGTTAGATAGGGAGCGTACATGAATTTTGACACAGGCTTATTGAGATGTGTACATAGAGGACATCCTATTATTTTTGAGGGATACCATGTTTACAAAATGATTGCATGAAAAAATGTATCTCATTGTTACCGAGTACATAACCTTGGAACTATATTGTCAAACAGACAAGTGGTTGTCTCAGTTTTTTCCAATTTTTTTCAACAATTTTTGTCCAAATTTTTTTTCTGAATTTTAAAACTTCTTTGTCAATTTTTTTTCAGAATATTTTTTAAATAGTATCCGTCGGATACGATTGGATATCACGTCCTATGGATCGGATACGATTTTAGTGGCGCATACCAAAATTATCTTTTGACGTTGTCCCAATATATATTTAGTATCCATCCATTATTCACACTAACGTATGATGTTCAAGTTGTTGTAACTAGATAACAGCAACACCAAGGTGTAGCGAATCCAAAACGGCTATGGCTGCTAGTTTTGGAAATGACCACCAATTAGCCAAATTGTCATTGCTTCCTAGTATTCACACCCTATGCAGACAGAGCCTGTGGGAAATATTGGGTGCGGTGCAAATGAGCGGAGGGTGCGGAGCTAACGGTCATTTTTGAATTTAAAATTGGGATATTTCTGAAACTAAGCCGTTTTGGGACTTCAAATATACCAAGATAAGTGTATTTGACACCAAATATCAATAAAATTGTGAAAATAGTAGTGCAATTCATTTTATAGCGACGCAGTATGCCTTAAACGTTTCCCAGACCTATATATTTTGAGACTATCCTTTTAATACTGCGTCCCCAGCATTCATAAAAATGGTGTTCAAGATACACTACCCATGCAAATTATTTTTGCATCTTGGAAGCCAGGCAGTATCTGTGTGATTTTATAAAAATTCGGAATTAATGTTCTTCAGATATGAGCCCCCTCTAAATATTGGGTGCGGAGGTACGTTTATGGAGCTCCTCCGCACCCAAGCTAGGCAAGTCTCTTCCGATCACTGTGTTATGTTGCACTAGGCTTTGATACTTACCGTTAATATGATACAGGGTAAAATGTTATCTCTTCTGAAAAACTCTTCTGAAGTTTCCAACCTATTGGCACTATGGCAAGTGTGCGGCCATGATGGCCGCCACTTTTACATTTTTTCCCTTCAACTCAAAAAGTAGTGGAGCAATTTCTTTAAATTTAATTCGAGTACTAAGAAGCATTTTACGTTTGTTCATGACAATTTGGCTAATGAGCAGTCATTTTGAAAATTGGCGGCCATTTTTTGTATTTCTTAACGTTGTTGCTATAACTGGAAAAGTAGTGGAGCGGATTAATACATATTAATGCAATACTTTGGGTAATAAGTCGCCATTTTGATAATGTTAGCAATTTTCCACCCAACTTAGCATAGGTTGTCCATCGAATTTTTGAGATAAATTTAATTAAAGACACTAGCCCCGTCCATCGTCAGATTTCTCAGAAAATTCTAGTAAAATCACCAAGGTCAAAATCACTCCGCCGCCAACATAAAATGAGATTTCCCACTGAACTTTGACATGTTTTCAGATAAATAAGGACATACCTTATAAATATTGAGCCCCGATTCACTTACCAAACGCCAGATGGCGCTCTACTGGGGTAGGGAAGGAGAAAATGACTTTTTTGAAAGAAAATCAAATTACCAAACCACTATCCTTACGCAGGACTATATCCAATAGACAATGTACCATGCTTATTAATATTCACAAACCAAATCAACAAAATCGCTCCGCCACTTTTCCAGTAACAGCAAATGTCGTAAAATATTGTGTAACCGCCACCGTTTTTAAGATGGCTGCCATGTTTTTTTAATTGATAAGACTTTCAACTTAATCAATGTCTTACATATGTATTTGCATCTAAAACATATTAATATTAAACTTTCATTTGTTGTACCTAAAATACTGTAAGATTTACACGAAAATTGCCGCCATTTAGAAAATGGTGGCCATTTTGAAAATAGTTCGAAAATCAAAGTTTCAATATCTTTCATTTACTTACCGACTAATGGTAGAATTTCTGATTGAACTGGTAGTTGCTCAGCAACGAATAGCATAAATACTGTGAGAGATAGGACCAAAGTAACGCTCAGTTGTATCCTCTCGCCACATCCCGGGGATACGAGGAACGAAAATGGTGATATGAGCATTATGAACATACAGGGCAGGATCACGTTGAAAGTATAATAGAGAGGCTTCCGTTTGATCTTGATGTAGTAAGTCACATCAATGTAGGGCTCTGGACAACAGTTGTATAATATGGAATGCCGCTCCGCATTAACTGACATCACGTCCCATTCTCCATTTGATTCATACGACGCCAAGTCTGCCGAGTCAGTTTTACATCGGAGGTCCAACTCTAAGCCAGAGAATCCCCATGATCCAAACTTGAGTTTACAGATCTGGATATCATAGGGAAAGTTCTGAACCTCCATCTTGCATGTACTGATAAATCTGGTTGGGATGTACCAGTGAATGTTTCCGTCGCTTGTAACTCTTAGTCGGAATTTGTCTGTCTCGTAAAACTGGCCTGTAATACTACAAAACACAACAAAATGAGGTATTAGACACTATCTCTTTTCAAAAAATGAAATGTCCCTTGGTGTTGTGGTCTAGAATTGTGCTATTGGTACTTATTTGAGTAGTTAGATCATGGTTTGGGATAGTCGGAATTTGTCTGTCTCGTAAAACTCGCATGTAATACTACAAAACACAACAAAATGAGGTATTAGACACTGTTTCTTTTAAAAAATGAAATTGTCCCTTGGTTACTCGAGTCTCTAGCTTATAATATAGAGAAGGCTTTGGACCGAAGTAATCCCTTGGTGTTATGGTCTAGGATTGTGATATTTGTACTTATTTGAGTGGTGGGGGAGGGGGTAATCAGATATTGTTGAAGATAATTGTTTTGGACAGTTGGGATTTAATATTTGTTTTCCTTGTTACTGATGTACTCTTGGGTATTTTCTTTTCCTTGCTGTTACGTTGTGTAGCTATTTTTGGTCATTTCCCTTTGACACTTTCGCTAACGTATTTTAATTACATCGTAGTCAAGATGATATTTTAGAACAACCCAAACCTATCTAAAGGGTTACTAATATAAAGGGTGATTCAGGGGCGGATCTGGGAACCAACAAGGGGGGGGGCAAATTTCAAGTCAGAGAAAAAAACGTCCGGAAAAAATTTTTGGGCCCCTATAACCCAAAAGTGGGCCCACATTGTGAGGCCCATTTTCTTCAAAACTTGGCCTGAAATTGAAAAATAAGGCCTTAATAGGCCCAGTTAAGGCCTTTTTTGGCCCCAGCCCCCCTCCCCCCTAATCCGCCAGTGTGATTACTTGTCCAAATCAAACTCATCTTGATACAGTAGTATGATATCTTGAATCGAACCAAACTTACCTCTTATAAAGGATAATATCTTGATCAAACAAAACTTACCTCCCATATATGGTGATATCTTGAATCGAACCAAACTTACCTCGTAAATAAAGTAGTTATTCACCAGGAGGGATCTGATGTGGGGAATATCACAAGGACGATATCAATATTTATCATCCGAGGGATATTACCCATATGATCCCGACAGGTGAATAACGACCTTATACCATGGTCAAGAGCATAAATTATTTTTTTGAAAAAATGAGAAAATTCGAAAAAATGAAAAATTTGGGAAAAATTCAAAATTTTGAAAAAATGTTGTTTTTTAAATGAATTTTGGGGGAAAAATTGTAAAATTTTTGAATTTTCCCGGGATGATATCAATCTCATCCTTGATATCATCCCTCTAAACCCGATATCATCCCTGTCCCAAATGCTATTATATACCTGACATTGCTCTGACCACGGTATAAAGGGTGATGTCTTGGATCGAGCCAAACATACCTTATATATAGGGTAATATTTTGAATCGAACCAAACTTACCTCGTATATAGGGTGATATCGGGAATCCATACATCCGTTGGCTGCAAATGCACTATCTTTACTCCTCCAAATTCAGATTCATTCCATTTCAGAAAATAGTCATCCCATGCCTAAAAAACGCAAGCCCATTATTATGTCACTCATATGACTGTTAACAAAAGTCAAAGTAGTGCTCAGGCAAACATATTGGTATAACATTGGAGCCTAATCTACATCCCAACGTGCAACTTTTTACCCTTTTCGAATTTCAAAATGTTTAGTAAATTCCAAACAATATCGTTATCTCAGAAATATGTCCAATTCGTAATATTTGGCACATATTTCGCCTGGCACGGTCTATTTTAAAACAATCATTACTGGAACTTGATGATGCAAATTGCCCTACTTATTACGTGGACTTCTCATTAATTCAATTTGTTCACACGCATTGTAATTTTAACGCTACCACAGACTACATGGGTTTAGCGATGACCAGGGAAGAACTTACAAATCGGAGCCAAACTGCTGTCACTATGGTTTGGTGTCTCTCGCTCTGAAAAATGAATTGTATTGTAGAATATAAAGAATTAAGATTATGATATGTTAATCGCACGCAAGATCAAATACCAAAAGGGATAGCATATTGCAACCCTATATCAATTTGTTGTCACCCGAGTTCAGTGTCATTTTATTGGGAATTTTATGATCACTAAAATCAATTTTGATTTTGGGGTGTTTATGAATACCAATGTAGCATATGAATTTACCATCAGATATCTTCCTTGTTATTTCTCCCTGTATATGTATGTACCTTATGTTTTCTCTTAATGTTGGGACACTTGTGTAAATACAGTAAACCTGTATAAAGTGAACAACCACAAAAATTGTTCATTGTAGGTAGGTGTTCACTACAGGAGGGGATTTTATACAGGAGTCAATAAAATGTGTCTTGAGATGGTGTTCACTAAACACAGGTGTTCACTAGAGTGATGTGTTCACTTAAACAGGTATTACTGTACTCTGTAAAAAGTCATGAAAATAACCATGGAAACACCTACCACGTCCACTATCTGATTCAATGAAATGTCCATTGTTACCACGGTTGGTTTTTCTGCATTTTTCACAGGACGCACATTAGAATCGTAGTTAGTCATCAGGTGTTTTACCAGTAAAGATTCAGGCGTTAGATAACTTTCATTAAAACATTCCACATGGCATGCCATGAGGATTTCCGCAATTATGACAATGATCAGGTGATAAAACATCGAACCATCCATTTTCAATTAGCACGGCTATATGTACTTTAAAATTCTGTACGGCTATACAAGTATATGTACTTTTGAATTCTACTTCAATATGTTTAGATTGAATCCTTATCCCTGACACGGCTAATTGTACTTTTGAATTACTACTTCAATATGTATAGACTGAATCCGTATCTCTGGCACGGCTAATTGTACTTTTGAATTTCTACTTCAATATGTATAGAGTGAATCCTTATCTATGGCACGTCTAATTGTACTTTTGAATTTCTTTTTCAATATGTATAGAGTGAATCCTTATCTATGGCACGTCTAAATGTACTTTTAAATTTCTACTTCAATATGTATAGAGTGAATCCTTATATCTATGGCACGGCTAATTTTACTTTTACATTTCTACTTCAATATGTTTAGATTACATTGAATCTTTATCTATGGCAGGGCTATATGTACTTTTAAAATTCTACAATATGTAAAGATTGCTTTGAATCTGAATTTGAATTTGGTGCTTTAATGGCACGATTATATGTACTTTTAGACGTAATCATTCTCCTATTTTAAATAGACTTAATCCTATGTATATGTCCCTTTTTACTTCAATATGAATAGATGCTCTAAATCCTTATGTATGGATCTACCATTTTTCCATGCCTATTCTACTGGCATGCAATTTTTCAATTCAGTATTTGTAATGCTGTTAGACCATCAGCTAATGCTTATAAATGCACAATAATAAGTGTGTACATATGTTGTAATAGATATTTGGATGTTATGTGATATTTTTATGGCACTGAATCACTAGTCTACATTACATTACTTCATTCTATTATAAGCACTAAAGTCAATCACGGTGTCATAATATCTGGTATTTACTATAAAAATCCATACATTAGATGCGTACACGACTTTTTCCTATAAATTAAAAAATCCATATACTATGCACTAACAAAAATCCTTATCTTCAGTATCGCATATGAAAATGATAGTCAAATTCAAAACTCAGATCGTTGATGTGACGTCAAGGTAGAGTCATTATGTTCATTATTGCTGAAATTCTACAAAAGTCAGGTTCCAACAACTAAATAATCTGCAAAATATCAAGAATCCCTAAAAGTATATGCATCCTGCAAGTCTTTGATATAGTTTATAAGTCCTATACATATTGTACAAGGTAGTCTTAGAAGTATATGTTCTACAACTTCTGCAAGTCCTTTATATATTCTGTAAGTCTTATACATATGTTACAATTTCTTCACATATTCTACAAGTCCTCTATATATTCTGAAAGTTTTTTATACATATTCCACAATTTCTGCATATATTCTTTAAGTCCAGTGCGTCCTGCACTTATTCTTTAAGTCCTATACATATTCTACAAGTTCTTTATAAATGCATTGTGCAAGTCCTATTCTTCAAGTGCTATCACATTCTGCAAGTCCTTTTACATTATGCAAGTCCTTTCCATATTCTTTCAATCATAATTGCTATTATTTCCTCTGAACCGAGCTCTTCTAGTACGGTTTTGTATAAAAAAAAACATCATAAATAATCTCATAGAATTGATATTAAAGCATGAAACATTTACATCCTACCATATTAGATCTCAAGATATACAGATATTTATATTCCGTGCATGAATTATGCTTCACAGTAGTCGGCTATACGAGATATCATAGAAATATAACATTGATGAAAATAAATGTTACCTTGGATATTCACTCTTGGAGGTAATAAAGTAAGATCTAAAAAACACGTTTAATACCATTTACAAAAGAACGCTATTTAAAATTCAACTAATAACGTGATGAATTTATACGACTACGATGTGGTCTAATATGGCCTATCACCTCCGAGTAATTGAGGTTGAAAATCCGGGGGTTAAACTACACTTTTAAAGATAACTTGTACGTGAATATGTCGAATTTCGGTCCTCGGGGATTAGGTCTCGCCTTACTATGGAATACGTACTTACTTGTCCAATTGAGTATGAAGGCACAAGGAAACCGTAAACCCTTGTAATGCAACAGCCAATTGATTCTTGCTATAAATTGATAACTCCCTTTTTATTTGGATTATTCATTAAAATATCACATTCATTAAAGTCCCCGTCTAAAGTTCGAAAATATTTTTTTATCATTCATTTACTATTTGTCAGGACTTAAAAAGTGATTTTAGAGATTTTTGAACGAAAAAAAAATTTTGAAAAAAAAGTTGTGAGCATTTCATTTCTCAAATATTCAAATTTCCCGCCATTTTTCAAAAAAAGTTGAAATTTCTTAATCATCAAATATTTCTTAATGCATTTCAAAAAATATTATCTTTTTAACACCAATGCAAAGGTTGAACAAAGGACGACACACTATTTCAATAATAAAATGCCATATTTAATGGGCCACTTTAATGTTTTAGCATATCAAAAATATTTTGAAACATTAGTGATGTCATTAAGGTACCAAAAACTTTTTGAAAAAAATTGAAATTTTTTTTTCGATGTCAATCTTTTCTAAATATGTTAGACTTTCATAAAAAAAACAATGTTGATTGTCTAACCAGGTTAAAAGGAAAAATAAATTATGTTTTACATATCATTGTACCATTGGTTTCTATGAGAACTAAAATTTTGGAATGCATTTTTCTCAGAACCATTTTCGTGCACTGATAAGTTCATTTCTCGCTTATTTATGAACCGATTTTCTTGATTTTTTCGGCAAAAAACACGGGAAGATGAATGCTATGCATTGGTATGAATTGTGGCTAATTAGAAGATATGAGTGACCTCCAAAAGTTGGTTTTAGATAAATTCACAAATTTTGGAACAAAAAGTCTATCAAAAACCACTTTTTGAAATTTAAAAAAAAAGTTTCACATATCACACTTTGATAACATTGGGTAAGACTACAATTTAAGCCAAAGTGGTTTAAACTTTATATGGGGCCTTTAAATTATTGTGAAAGAATCAGGTAACAAGGCATTAACATGCAAAGAAGTACGTATTATCAGTTTTTCTTATTTTCCGAGAATAACATGCATAACGCGGATCAAAATGATCAAAACTGAGTTTCAAACTTGCTTTTAAAAACCCGGCTTTTAAGAAGTTTGCAGTACTCTAAGTGGAGGCAACATGAAATGGCTACCTTTGTTAAACGTGTTACGTCACAATACGCAAACGCTGGTCTATTTTAACTTAATAATTAGTCGGGGTAAAATCATTCAGCAAAAGAAGTCCTGGCAGTGGATAGTATATAATGCACTAAAAGTTCGTCCTGACAGAGGAAATTAAATGCGTATTCTATAAGGCGTCTACCATAAATGATTCATGTTCGTCATAGCTCCGCCGCCCATCCGTTCTTATCCAAAACATTGTTCATCATTTGATGACAATTTTATTTAGTACTACCTATTAGGCTAATACCCGATTAGCGATATAAAATCATGCTTATTTTAATGCTATAATAGATACAAAATTACCTTTTGATGAGTGCACGGTTTCAATAAACACGGATATAAATATTTCCAATGCGAAAGTATCTAATCAGATCAAAGGTAATATATTGTTATTTTCAACTTCTACCGGTTAATGTAGATAATGGAGACATTAAGCTGGTTTTCTATGATACATGTTTTAAACAACCTCGTTGCGTAGGATATTTGGTGCTAACGCATCTTATGTATGACATACATCATTTTCTTCAGGAAGCATTGTGCATCGAAATCAAAATTGCCAGCATAGTATTCAATAGACATGAATATAATAATTATATCACTGCCATATACCTCATTCTCTGATTGGTCGATGTCCTACACGTGAATAAAAAATAACATGCGATACTATTCAACGGAAGTCACTAGTACCAACAAAATGTTCCGAAAAGCAAGCCAAATGTCCTGTTCAAGAACCCCTATTCTTATTTTTGAAAATGGATTCTAACAATACTATCCTACGTGAATCTCCTTGTTGAGACTCATCAACTTGAGTTCTTCTGAGAAAATGAGGATTTTAGCAAGATTGCATTGACTCAACATGGGGACATGCACCAATGACCATTGACTAAGCGTGAGGATACCATCATGTATGTCACCATGTAAAATCAATTCACCCTTGCTGAAATCCTCATTTTCTCAGAAGAACTCGAGTTGATCAGATCTCAACAAGTAGATTCCTGTTAGAATCCAATTTCGAAAGTTAGAATAGGGGTTCTTAAACAGGACGATAAAGCTTAACTAAGGCCTTTTTGAATTTTTTGTTAAGAACTACACGTAACGTCCGTTGAATATCAAATGATATTCGCCAGTCCGACTTAATTTTGACTTCATATATACCCGTACATTGTTATAAGTAATTAGACATCGATAGTTTGTTATTCCATTGATGTGAGTGAATAATATAACAGTAGATTCCTGTTAGAATCCATTTCGAAAGTTAGAATAGGGGTTCTTAAACAGGACAATAAAGCTTAACTAATTGCCTTTTTGAATTTTTTGTTAAGAACTACACGTAACGTCCGTTGAATATCAAATGATATTCACCAGTCCGACTTAATTTTGATTTCATTATTATATACCCGTACATTGTTATAAGTAATTAGACATCGATAGTTTGTTATTCCATTGATGTGAGTGAATAATATAACAGTGAATAATCAAACAAATATGTAATTCTATTTTCGGGGAATACCTGTGACACTTTCACAATATGATATTCCACTAGCCCTCGGGCTTCGTGGAATATCACTTGTGAAAGATGCACAGGTATTCACCTCAATAGAATTAAATATTTGTATAGTATTGGTTCATGGACGTTGCGTTCACGATTACGTTGTGAAAAACATCGCCAGCTAAAGTCTCCATTATCATACTAGAATCGAACTCCTGTATTTACAAAGAGCGTAATGTATTGAAACCGATCCCCCAAATTAGAAGAATCACTCTAACAATATTTTTAGAAAGTAGATGTATAATAGCTGATGGAATTAATCTTAATTAATCTGATTGAAATAATACTGTGCGGCAATCCCGGGGCGGCAATCATACGTGTCAGTTTTGATGGTACGACGAGCTCACTGAATCGTTCATGATATCTTAATAGGTCATAAAAGAGAGAGGCCTGGTAATGTTTGTGTGGTAGAATATGATTGTTCCAGTATCATATTTTAACCTGCAGACAATATTATTGCTTACTTGCTCGATTTATGCACGATGGTTTTTTTCATTTGAAATCAAAATGATCTACATATTGCGCATCAGGTTAAGCTGAGCTGGGAATAGGGAATTGAAATAGGAATTAATAGACGATTGGAACTTTTTCTAATACAATATGTGGGTAACTTCGACATCATTTAGTAATTATCGAGAGTTATCAAGCCGGGTGATGGGTGTTTTGATGTGGTATCTCCAAATCGTTGCCATAGTAACGGGAGTCCTAAGGATGTATCTTGTGGAAGGGCTGTCCCAAGATTTGATGACGGCAGAGCTCTTGCTGAAAAAGTACCTGCTGGAAAACTATGATCCGTTTGTACGTCCGGTGAAAAACGCATCTGAACCCGTAGTGGTAACAATGGACTTGGCATTGACTCAAATAGTGGACGTGGTAGGTGTACCAAATTTTTTATTTTCTCAACAAATGATGCATGTGTACTCTTCTTTTGTACTGTTTATGTCATTCAAAATGCTGTCAAATATACATGTCAGAACATGACATCTAAAGAGTCAATAAGATATACGAGGGTTGTCCCAGAAGTAATGCTCTAACTTTATCAATTATTGATATTTTTCCATGAAATTTTGGGTAAATGTTCCTTGGAGACATTTTGATTATTCTAGAGATTTTCATGTTGACTGATAAAACCATATTGATGTTATAATAAAATCAAGTTGGTGAGTTTGGGTAGGGCGGGGCAGGTTATACAGTCACGTCAAAAGGAATAAAAATTGAAAATATGAAATAATTAATCAACAAATACCATTTGGTGTAGCTATAAGATATATGCTCAAAAAGACATTTTAAGATACTAAATTACTATGAGAACATCCTGGATTTAATGGATGTATATTGCACAGTGTCCCATTTCACATTTTCTCAAAATATTGCCCTTTGCATGTTATGTACTTTTGATGCCTGTCAGGTCAAACACTCTCGGCAATTTCTTCCACTGTGACTTGTGGAGTTTTTGCCTCCCATGTTTGGAGTTGTCACACAGGGTCAAATTGTCTCTTTTAAATCTCTTCTGCCACCCCATAATTGTAGTTCTATCTGGTATATACTCCTTATATACTTTCTTCATGGTAGCATTGTTTTGCGTGGCTGTGAGTCCAAGTGAAGTATGAAATTAGGCCACCAAACGCAAGGCCTTCTGTTATCAGGTGAGAATTGCAGCCATTTTTGAAATTTCTTGACTGTGACTGTATTTGAATTCGTGACTATTGAAATGTGGTATTATGACATCACAGCGCTAAATGTCATTATGCATACTTGGTTAACATCATGCTGAATAAATTTAACAATTTCCCAAACATTTTGACCATTTAAAGGAAAGAAATATTAATAAAATAACACTTTAGATCTTTTCATAATTAGAAAAATCGGTACCTGCCCCGCCCACCCCTACCCCCATGTTGTTATAGCAACCATATTAAGACTTAATATTAATGTTGGATGCTGAAACCTCTGGATATAATAGATAAAACTTCAATTGTTATATACACAAAATTTCAGCTGAATTGAAGAATATTAAAGAAATTTAGAGCATATAGTGCATTACTTCTGGGACAACCCTCGTATATTTCAATTTTAACTCTAATGCCAACATCGATGATCGTACATATTTTCTCAAGGAATCGTTTTGAAAAGAAAAACCGGTTTAAGAAAGCTATCTTTTTAATTTTGCTTTGTTTTGTAATTGTTTTTAAAAACAATAAGGAGTATTGTTGCTTATTTCTGCATTCTTTACACTTAAAGTTTACAGAAAATACATATCAAAGCAATACATTTTTTAGTCATGGAATTTTTTGGGCCATCAAAAAATGGGCCTTATATTTTTCAAAGTTTGGGCCCAACTTGGATTTAGGGGCCCAAAAAGTTTTTCCGACATTTTATCAGATTTGAAATTTGCCCCCAACCCTTGTTAGGTTCTTGATCCGCCAGTGGGTGAACTAATCCGTATTTTAACTTGTTTATCATATTTGCTGTCTAATGTATCTAATAAGGCTTACAATGATCCTTAACACGTTTGGCTTTTTTAGGGGGGAGAGGGGGGGGTACTTAACCACCCTATCGATCTGTATTCTTATAATGAACGCTACCTATGCATTGTATTGTAATTTTCAAACAAAAGAACTGATAATGGAGTTAGTGTGAAAGAGCAAAGCGAACATCCATCAGTGGATTTAATTTGTTAATGGAAGTGAGTGAGTCGGAAATACTTAGAAATGTTTAGATTACGCGAGAACCGTGACATGCTGTTATATTGATTGAACAATAACGAGACGCTATTAGAATTGTTATCCCAACGAACGAAGTTTGGTAGGTATATAGTGAAGCCCTGCGTCCGCCGGTCAGTCAGTCATGATCAGTCCGTCTGGAATATAACTCGAATACTAGATAGTAGACGGGTTTTCCTCATATTTGATGGAAAGAGTGTGTATTTGTAAATAATTTGCGCAAAAAAAGTTTTTCATTTTACATTTTAAACCAAAGTAATAACTATTGTTGAAATGTTGGTAGTACAGGGTGGGCCAAAAAAACGCCACTTTTTTTTCAAGACACTACAACTTTTTTATTTTCCAACCTACATACCTCAAATTTTGCAGTTATATAGTGCCAATGGTTCTTAGCAATAATATAATGTAACAAGTCCTTCAACTTGGATTATATTTGATCTAAAAGAGGAGTTCAATTGGTCCGCCACCCTAATTGATGATATATTTTAGATTTGGTCGCCTTGCTGATATTGCAGTATCAATGAAATGTTAGCTAAGTTTTTTCCAACCTGTCTGAATTCCCAGCTTTAGTTGAGCAATTTTCTAGATTGGGTGCCTTCATACAATCTCCTGGAGACCTTCCCATACCCTACACTCACTGGGGTTTGCATCAGGGCTACTAGCTTGGCGATCATCAGGCCGTATCAATTCAGGAACATTTTGCAAATTATGCTTATTTCTCATGAAAACCACATGTTTAAGTGAGACGCTGGTGACATATTTTATTCAAGTAAAACTGTATAATTTATGATCCATGGCTAGATAACAACCTCAAGTTTCATTTGGTATGCAAATTATGATTTAATATCAAAAATTAAAAAAGTTAAAGCATTTTGAAAAAAAGTGGCGTTTTTTTGGCCCACCCTATATATTCACAACATCTATACAGGGTGGGCCAAAAATTTTGCAACTTTTTAAAAGGCTAGAAAAGTATCAAAACATAAGGGTATTGCCATAAAAAATTATTAACAGAAACTTAAGGATAGGCATATTTTACCATTTAAATACTAAAGCTAAACTGGACTTCAATTTTTTTTATCAGATCTTTCAATATCAATGGTCTATTGTTCATGTGTCCGAGATTTACCGTTTTTCCTAGAAAATGCTTCATTTATGTGATCAACAATAACATATTCATCATGTTCACTAAATCTGTTACAATCTTGGATAAATGTTCAACCAATGTCTAGTACAGTTTATATCAGTATCTAGTCACTATGATATTATGAATCTATTGATTATTTATTAAACAAATTTTATGCATCCACCTTTCACCTTCTCTACAGCGCGCAAGGAGACATGGGCAGAACTGGTCAATGGCGCGATCCAGCGATTCTTGTGGCAGTTCTCTCCACTTCTCCTGCAGAACTTCTTTTAGTTTGACAATAGTTTGTGGGGGATTACCATTAACTGCAATATGCTGCTCCAGGTGCCCCCAATGGTGATAGTCACAGGAGTTGGCATCTGGGGTATTTGGCAGCCATTCATCAGGACTAATGAATCAAGGCTTATTCTCCTCCAGATATTCTAAAGTGACTTTTGCCCGATGGCTGGGAGCGATAGGGAAAGTGAAAGGGGGGTGCATAGAACATTTGTTTAATAGATAATTAATAAATACAATATAACATAATACCATAGTGACTAGATACTGATATAAACTAGACATTGAGTTAGACATTGTTTAAACAGTTATCCAAGATTGTAGCAGAATTAGTGAACATTATGAATGTATTATTGTTGATCAGTACATAAAATCATAGAAAGTCACATTTTCTAGGAAAAATGGTAAATCATGGACACATGAACAATTGACCATTGATATTCAAAGATCTGACAAAAAAATTTGAAGCCAGTTTTAGCTTTAGCATTTGACTGGTAAAATATGCCTATCTTTAAGTTTCTGTAAATAATCTTTTATGGCAATACCCTTATATTTTGATACTTTTCTAGCCTTTTAAAAAAGTTGCAAAATTTTTTGGCCCACCCTGTATATATCCCATGTTTTCAGCCCGCCACCTGTATTTCAGTGGTTTTACTGTATTTCAATTATTTAATTTGATTTGCAAATACTAACACATGTTAAATGCTTTTCAGAGGGAGAAACAGCAAACAATCATGTCATCAGTTTGGCTTCGATTCGTAAGTAAATATTTAGCATAACTTAGTGTAGGAAATTAGGATCTGGGGGAAAATAGAACGAAATTTGCAAAATGATGTGCTTTCGTCTAATTATTATACAACTTTTGGATCAACCCTCGTACAAAGAGAAAACACCGGAGCAATGCTATGAAAACAAAATAAAACGTCATAAAAACAATATAAACACATCTTCTGGATTGTATCTCCATAAATCAGCAATTTGATGTTATTATAACGGTATTGAGTGATTAATGATATGACTATGAACTTTTTTTTATTAAAATTGGACTCCTGGGTCCAAGGATGTCTAGTGATCACTAATGTCACACTGATAAGGTTGGTGCGACATTCGACTTTTATTTGCCCGTTTTGCTAATCGATAAAGGTAATATTCCACACCTAAAGTTACGTTCACACCAACGGCGCTTTGATGGCGCTTTAAAGCGGCTTGTAAAGCGGCACCAAAGCGAAACAAAGCTTGATTAAAGCGTCGGGGTCGTAATAGGTCGTAGAAAAGCTCGGAGTAATGCGGGATATTCGGCAAGAGCGCTAAAAAATTTAAACTGTTTAAGCGTTCGCACCAACGGCGCTTTGATGGCGCTTTAAAGCGGCTTGTAAAGCGGCACCAAAGCGTAACAAAGCTTGATTGAAGCGTCGGGGTTGTAATAGGTCGTAGAAAAGTTCGGAGTAAAGCGGGATATTCGGCAAGAGCGCCAAAATCTTTTAAACTGTTTAAAAATTTTGGGCGCTCTGTTACGAATTGAATAAAGCGCCGAGAGCGTATCAAAGCTTAACAAACCGTAACAAAGCTCAGCAAAGCTTGACCCAAAGCGTAGGAAAGCTTAACAGAGCTTGGTTCAAAGCGGGGACCCCAGTCTCTTCACGGACTGTTACCAATTCACACGCTTCGTTAAGATGTCTCAAGATTTGCTACGATCTGGCATGAAGATCTGACACGAGGTCAGACGCTTTCATCAATATCTGACACTCTTTGTTACGCTTTCATGAAGGACTCCCAAGCTTTCCAACAAATTGAGACGCTTCAATCAAGAATTGAAACGCTTTGTTAGGCTTTGTTACGCTTGACAAGCTTCCTCATGCTCTCTCACGCTCTTTCACGCCGTGCGTCAAACATCATGTCTTATTTAGATAGGACATGCTCTGGTCCATCTGGAATTTCTGGATCTTGTTGTTCTGCCATCGTGTTCTCGAGTCAAAGATGCAATGGTTTTATGGATCTACTGCATCTTTATATAGTCATTGGATTAAAAGTGGCATGAAATCGGCGATCTCGACATTTTCCAATGCGTGACAGAGCTTAACAGAGCGTAACAATGCCCAACAGAGCTTGTCAATCGTATCAGAGCCTGATTTAAAGTGTCATAATCGCATTAAAGCGTAATAATGCTTATCAAAGCGTTATTTCAAGCGTAACAAAGCCTGGTTAAAGCGTGAGGAACCTATCAGAGCTATGTTAAGCTTTCCTACGCTTTGCGTCAAGCTTTTCTGAGCTTTGTTACGGTTTGTTCAGCTTTGATACGCTCTCGGCGCTTTAATCAATTCGTAACAGAGCGCCCAAAATTGTTAAACAGTTTAAAATTTTTCGGCGCTCTTGTCGAATATCCCGCTTTACTCCGAGCTTTTCTAAGACCTATTACGACCCCGCCGCTTTAATCAAGCTTTGTTACGCTTTGGTGCCGCTTTACAAGCCGCTTTAAACCGCCATCAAAGCGCCATTGGTGTGAACGTAGCTTTAATGACACCAATGGAAACCTTCTCAGGGAAGTATCTGGGATTTAAAAAGTTTTGATATTTTACGCTTTCTTTGTATATCTAATTGCCTTATTTTTGGCAATAACATTACTTCAGTTGTACTGGTCCTTGAAACGTTTTTAAGAATAAAAAATAAATGTTTGAATACTGGGGATTCGTTGTCCTGTATGTCTATATGTTTTTCATATATTTTGATAATACCTCTTATTATAAGATCGCTTTTAAAGGCATGGAACGATTATTTCATGCGGTGGAATGAATCCAAATATGAAGGAGTTAAAACAGTCCACCTTAAACAAACAGATGTGTGGACTCCAGACATCACTCTTTACACTAGGTAAGTTGAGTTCCAATTTAGGTCATATTCAATAAATTGGAATTGCTAGACAAATTATAAACAGTATCTGCTGTTTTGAAAAAACGTCGATTAGAACGGTCACAGTCCTAATATATATTTTATCAAAGTTTGTTTGTCAAAGATTATAATTATACAGCCATATATATCTAATTGTATACTTAAATGTATCATTTCTACATACTTTTGAATTTTGGTTAAAAGTAAAATATTCCTAAATTGTTGTGATCTGTTATGTAGTGTCCCCACAAGTCAGTTTTCCGACTCAAAGGACTACTTAGTAAAGGTTACAAGTGACGGAAGCGCTTACTGGTATATTCCAACAAGGTTTGTCAGTACATGCAAGATGGATGTTCAGAACTTCCCCTATGACGTGCAGAACTGTAAACTAAAGTTTGGCTCCTGGGCGTACGTAAGCACGGAGCTAGACCTACAGAACAAATCAGACTCGGTGGACTTGGCGGCGTATGAATCGAATGGAGAATGGGAGTTGATGTCAGCTGAAGCGATACGTCATTCCATAACGTACAACTGTTGTGCAGAACCTTACATTGATGTGACGTACTACATCAAGATCAAACGAAAGCCTCTTTATTACACTTTCAACGTGGTCCTGCCATGTGTGTTCATTGTGATCGTCACACCGTTTTCGTTCCTTTTGTCCCCGGGGTGTGGAGAGAGGATTCAACTGAGTATCACTCTATTGTTATCTCTAACAGTTTTCCTCCTGTTTGTTGCTGAACAACTACCAGTCCAATCCGAGGACGTGCCATTAGTTGGTGAGTATGATCTGACCAATCCAACATAAATATGGTTACAATTTTACTGTTTGCGACATTGCAGGGTAGTGACCAATCTGTAACAACACCAATGTAGTTACCATGTGTAAATCATTATGATGCATCATTTAAGAGTAACAACCATTACGATGGGGTCATTATTGAGTTCAAATATCGAGGTGATACTTTTCTGCAGTTAACAACTTCCGGGTGGTGGCCAATCTGTAGTTAACAACACCAACGTGGTTAACATTCTACCATTCGCAAGGCAACGGACATTCTGCAGTCACCAACATCAATGTGGTGATTGTTCTCAGTTATCAATATCAGGGTGGTGGAAATATAAAATACTTACATCACTATGGTGCTATTCTGCAGCTATTGACGTCATGGTGGTTATCATTCTCATATCTTGTTTCAGCTCGATATTTCATAGCTGCAATGTTAGTGCTGGTATTTTCAAACATGGCCTCTATCATATCAGTTCACCTTTACCACAGAGGTTCCAAAAGAGACAAGCTCCCACGAATGGCGAAACTGTTAGCAATTAAAATGGCACGACTTGTGTGTATGGCGGATAGATTTGATGACGGTATTGATAAAAGTAGTCCTGACGATGGCAATGCGGAATTAAAAAGATACGATCATGTAGGTACTACATACGATGTAAATTGTATTACAACTGATCTACATTAATACTACTATGGATCCTCAAGACAGCCTTTTTGAATTTTAGTCAAAAATTGACCCATACATATGGTCTCTATGATGTCATTAAGTTGAATTAATTTTGTATATTGTGCGAAGGGCTAAACTTGTTCATTGCTTGATATAAGATACAACAATAATGTACAACAAAAACATAACAATAATATATATAACAATCATGAAAATACTTATATTACTTCGTGTATCAAAATAATTTCAGAAACTTGCAAAAGTTGAAAATGGAATGTGTCATTCAACAACGAGGAGAAGGCGTTTAACGAGTCAAAAATACAAGGAAGCCGGTAGCCTTGATTCAGTGAGTGGAGAGTACAATATAGTTCATTGCCCAGAAGAGTGCACCATTGTACAACTGGTGTATGATATAAACAGCCATTTGGCTAACCTCCATGAATATAAAGCAACGTCACAAAAAGTAGACGCTATCAAAAGAGAATGGAAGATGGTTGCGATCGTATTGGACAGATGCCTGTTGTTTTCATCCGTTATGTTGATTATGCTTATTTTATTGTGCTTTATGATTTATAACCCGGAACAAGATTGATTCATGCTTGCTGCGTTGTAAAATAATATTCCACACTTTTAAGAGATTTTGTGCGTAATGTGTAGAATTATGGTCATCTGGGAATCAGTTTTCTCCATTGTAGTTTTACTTGACAGATTGAAAAGATATACGTAAAAAATCAATAACATATATCAAACGTTTTAGTAACGCTTTATTATGCACCTTGTCTAGATACTTTAACCTAATTGGTTTTTAGCTGCTTGTAATTTGGTCATACCTGGCTTTAAAAAACTGACCAGTATTTTTTTCAAACTCGACCCTTTTGAGAAAGGGGTTAAATATCTTTTCAACGTCTGGCAGGAAACTGTCCAGCATTTTTTAAAGAAATGAAGAATCCTACTCAAGAATCTTATTTCGCTATAACTTGAGTATTATTTGAAATAAATACACGCCAAATGAAAGAGAAAGGTGTATCTAATCATTTAAAAAAACATCTATTTGTGCAATACGCCAGAAATGCTATATATTTATTAATCAAAAAGAAAAACACTTTCATTTGTGGTATAGAAAAACGGAACTCGTCAGAGTCAAGAAAAATTAAACTAGTGCACTCAAAAGCATGATTGAGTTGCAATAAAAGGAATATACTGGATGATCAGGAGTTGGAAATGGCCAAAACATTTATCCTGCCATTGATTTTTGGGAGTTAAACAGGTACATTTTGAAGACATCCCGGACAGGAAATAAATATTGTTTTCAATTTTTTATGTTTTTAAGTGTATGTATATACTTGATAACTATATAATCGAGCAAGCTGAATTTTAAAATAATACATTATGAGATATTGACCAAAAATAGATTTTGACATTTGATTTTTACTGCCACACCTATTTTTACACATCCTCATCCTCAGTGTTTTCAGAAAATTAAAATTGCAATTCGTTTAATTAACTTTACCCTCTGGTGATGAAATGGTTTATTAAACAACTAATTTGTATCCCTGGTAGTCACTTAAGTCATTTGTCTACGGACTATATTTTTGGCAGCTCGATTTTACGTCTGCGTTGAAATGACAAGAAAATGTCCATTTACGTTGAAGGCGCGTGCTTCCTTTCGCATTGCAGTATCTTAGTCTTCCTCATGCGTATTTTCAAGAAATCAGCAAGAACACGTATATCCACGAATCCAAATATTTCTAGTTCAAGAGATTTAGTTAATAGATGCGCATGTACATGTACAATAGAACTTGCAGCCTCGACAACTAAATCTGATTGAACTTAATCACGTGTATACAAATCTCACGCCAATTTGTTCTGCTAGTTTCCTTTTATAATAGCCTTTTGGCACATCTCCCTGAGTTTATCTTTAGATATCTAAGAGAAAAAATGCATTGTTCGTCATGTAAAAAGTGCTATAAATTCAATCGCATCAAATTCGTCATAATCAAATTTGGGATTTTGGAAGTTTAAAACAGTAATTCGAAATTGCACATTTTTACCAAGTAAAAAAGATATATTCAACTCAGAAAGCTACTGCTCTCATGTATTTACCTTATTCCTTGCACCAACACGTGGAAAATCCTCCATTATTAAAAAATAGTCCGGTTGATCTCGCTCTGTGAGAAACTGACCACAATGAGCATCAATCTCCTCCTGCTTGATACTTTCACCGGGTTTGACGCTGGAATTTTATAAAATAATCGTATCTTATAAAATATTCGTATTTTACACGTAGATGTCCGTCTCAGAAAGCAAAATTTTGTATAAAACTACAGTAGTGTACAGGGTGTCAAAAACAACGGTATCCCCCTCTACAGCAAAAACTTCTCAATGCCACATGGTGTGTCCTATCTCATTGGAAAGATAATTTAATTCTGGTGTTACTCACACAATTTCATTAGATAAAACTTTATATTAAAAAAGTTATGTTGTTTTTGCTACTTCAGTACTTTGCTACTTTGTTGCTGGTTAAAGGCCAAATCTTCAGAAAGTGAAAGATAGAGGAAATAGCCCAGATCTTAAATGAGCTAAACAAATGGGTTCAATCGTAAAAAACAATAGTGGAATTGGTGGTCAGAGACCCTCTTGAAAACAGATACGGTAAAGATGCATTGCTGAAGAATGTGAAGAAATTGCTCAGAGGATTATGCAATGCTACACTTTATTTGAATCGTTATTGAAATAATATCCATCCAGATTAGCTGCTATTCGAGCAGCAAGTGGTGGTCATACAATCTACAAACAAACAATCAGCTGTAAATCTGTAAGTAAAATTATGTGATACAGAGCTGAAATTTCTCAGGTAGCTCCAGAATTAAATTGTCTTTAAAATGAGATATGAAAATATTAAGTACTTTTTACTGTAGAGGGGGGGGGGGTGCCGTTGTTTCTTGACACCCTGTATATTTATGTCGTAAGCTATTCTTTAGTTCCACAAATACTGGCTTTTGTTGTTTCATACAACTCGTCACTACAGTTTCACCAGGTAGTTATTTTCATTTATTTGTTTCATCAACCAGATTTTGTGTGTTTAAATAAAGTTTTTACATTATATTACATTGTTGATGAACATATCACTAAAAATAATTAAACTATTGCACATAAACTTTATGTAGCAGTATGTTAAATCGTCCGATCAGTATAGTACTTACACAATACAGAGACAAATGTCATCTCCTAAACAGGTTTCTGCATTGTTAATACCCAAACACTACAAGGTGAATATCAAATTTATATATCTATCTATATGTGAGATATTTACGATTTTAATCTATCTAAAGTAGTAGCATTAGCTATACAATGGTGCAGGTTTAGAAATGATGAAAATGACAATATCGTTTTTTTTATTTTACATTTTAGAAGATACTCCAAATGTAATCACATGCTATGAAAATATAAAGATTCCAGGAGATGCAAAATATCATCCCGTACCTTCGCCTCTGCCACCTTTTTGTGCCTCATCGCCGCAGCCTCAATGACACCAGGATAAATGATATCCCCGAGCCGCTTGAATCGAATACTGTCCGCCTTACGACCAACCAAGTAAAGGAATCCATTTTGATCCATTCTTCCGACATCACTGATACCAAGAACAAACAACCAATTTTCGTGTAATTTTTTTTCAATTAGTAGAAATACATTTACTATATTTACAAAAGAAATCAAAAAGCATCACATTATAGGTATGACTGAAACACATGGTGATAAGGGCAGTTCGTTTTCCGGTATACGTCATTTTGTTCAAACCGACAAAATCAGAAATCTGCAATATCAGAAAATTCCATAGTAAACTTTTGGAGAAAATGACACTTTGGTAAAGCCATATTGATAGTAGTTTATAATGGCGGTCAATGGGGATTTCCCAAAATTCAATCGTCAATATCTTTTGAAATAATGCTTATAATTCTCTTATTGAAACATTTACCGAAGCTTACAATAGGTGTCTACCAGTAAAATAGTCAGCACTTTCAATGATAATGAAAAACCCTGGATTACTCTTGGAATTATTATATCAGCTAGATACAAAAATAAGATTTATATTAAATACAAAAAGAATCCAACACTGGAAAACAAAGCCATGTATAAAAGGTATAAAAATAAATTAACTCATGTAATTCGAAATGCTGAAAAAGCTTATTACAAAAATAAATTTGAAGCAAATAAAGACAACATAAAAAAATCCTGGAACATAATTAACACCATCTTAAAGAAAAACTCTGGACAATCAAAAATTAATAATACATTTAACCTTAATAATCGACAAACTACCGATGGCGCTGAAATAGCTGAAAACTTTAACAATTTTTTTAGCTCTATTGGCAATAAACTTGCAAATAAGATTCATAGTAATACTGATCCAATGGTTAATTTAAGAAAAATCAATTCAAATGATAAATCACTCTTTTTAACTCCTGTAACAGAAACTGATGTTAAGAATCAACTTAAATCTTTGAAACCTTCCGCTGCTTCAATAGACGATATAAAGCCCTCAGTTGTCAAACTACTAAAAGAATCATTATCAGCCCCACTTACACAGATCTTTAACCTATCAATTTCTACTGGAACATTTCCTGATGCATTGAAAATTGCTAGAGTGATTCCCATATTTAAATATGAAATTTTATACTTACACCAATATGGCTTTAGGAAAAAACATTCAACATACATGGCCCTTCTTAAATTTCATTGAAAATATTAGAAAGTCTTTAGATACAGGGAAAACTAGTCTTGGTATTTATATTGATTTAACCAAAGCCTTTGACACTGTTGATCATAAAATATTATTACAAAAACTTGAATTCTATGGCATTCGTGGAGTAGCTCTTTCTTGGTTCACTAGTTATCTTGAAAAGAGAAGAATAATCACCGAATTTACAAAGAAGAATGTTTCACTCGACCAATTTACAGAGACTGATGTGAAATATAGATCAATTGAAAATACAGTTGAATATGGAGTACCTCAAGGGTCAGTAATAGGCCCCCTCTTATTTATAATCTTCATTAACGACATATATCTAGTCTCAAATAAACTATCCTTTGTTTTATATGCTGACGACACAAATATTGCGCTTACTAACAAAAATATTGAAAATCTAGTCATTGAAATGAATGAAGAATTACAAAATGTCTCAAATTGGATGAAGGCAAATAAACTAACTCTTAATGTTGACAAAACCAAGTTTATGATATTTAGCAATAAAAGAGATCTGAACAACAACATATTATCCTTAAGATTGACAACCAACCAATTGAAGAGGTGAAAGAAATTAACTTCCTTGGTGTTATCATTGATTCGAAGCTACACTGGTCTCCTCACATTAACGCTATATGTACAATAATCTCTAATTTGATTGGTATAGTATACAGGACTAGACATCGACTGACCTTGAATGCCATGACTACAATTTATTATTCAATGATTTATTCTTACCTAAGCTATGGAAATATCTTATGGGGAAATGCCATAAAAACACTCATTCAGAAATTATTTATTTTGCAAAAGAAATTCTTAAGAGTCATTACGTATTCTGATAGCTTTGCCCCTTCAGGTCCACTATTTCAGAAGCTAAAAATTTTAAACGTATTTGATATACATTCCCATCAAACAGCTAGCTTTGCACAAAAAAACACTTTCTGAATCGCCTGATTTCCCTTTTAAAAAATTCAACCATCTTTTCTCATTAAGATCAACAATTCACTCACATGACACAAAATCAAAAAATGATTTGATTGTTCAACCATTTAGAACAGAATATGGAAGGAAATCAATTGGGACAAGTGGCCCATCAATTTATAACACGTTATCTTCTGATTTGAGAAACTCAGTTCATATTAAAATGTTTCAACGAAAGTTTAAGTTCAATTTGTCAAGCCTTTATTAGTTATTTTGAACCATACTTCCACTATGTTACATCAAGATAAAAAAGTAGATCTATGCTTTGTAATTTATGTACACTACAATAACTGTTCTAACATTACATGCTTTGTATATAACACATTATATTTTTTCAAAACATGGAATCCATACACCCCCCGGGGTGTCCTTTTCATATCACTTGTAAATTTATATTGTATGAAAACTAGAATTGAATAATAAATTGAATAAATTGAAAATTGAACTTGATAAAATCCAACTTGTAACCCCTCTTATTTTGAAGACATTCAAGTTATGGTTACATACTAGTAATATTGACTTTATTGCTCTTGAACTGTTCTGCAGAGGGTCTTTTGAAAATTTATAAATTAACATGGGACTCAATGGAGTTTTCGTGAGCAACTTAATAACTAGATATATTAAAAATAATACATTTTTTAAAATATGCCTGTTTGGTTTTTTGAAAGTCAATATATTGGCTGTAGAGATCTGCAACAACAGAAAATTCCATAGTGGACTTTTGGAGAAAATGACCCTTTTGTAAAGCCATATTGAGAGTAGTTTATAATGGCAGTCAATGGGAATTTTCCAAAATTCAAACACAAAAACACAAAATCTAGCTTGTAACCCTTCTTATTTTGAAGACATTTTAGTCATGGTTACATACTAGGAAGATTGACTTTATTGCCCTTGAACTGTTCTGCAGGGGGTCTTTTGAAGATTGATGAATTAACATTGGGCTCAATGGAAACATGCAAAATTCTCGAAGCCTGTTATTATCCACTGGGGCCACTTTGACACTTTGGTGGATTTCATAAATATATGTAATAAAGATACTTTGGTCAAAAAATGGTGGCGTATATATAGCAAGTGCAATTCAAGGGTTTTATTGTCATAACTGACTGCACTAAATGGAAAAATCATTTTTCTAAATTGTTTTCAAATAACAGTAATGATGACAACGACATTTTAAGTAGCTTGAAAAAACTAGAAAACGAGCCTAATTTTGACGAACTTAGTTACAAGATAACATATGAAGAGATTAATATGGTAGTAAACCAGCTTAAAAATAAAAAGGCTGTAGGAAAAAGTGGAATATCTAATGAATGGGTAAAGGCAGGAGGGCAAATCTTAATTCCTCGCATTTGCAAGATATTTAATGAGATATTAACTAATAATCAATACCCAGTAACGTGGATTGAGTCCTATATTGTTACAATTTATAAGAAAAATGACCCTCGAGTACCAGGTAATTATCGTGGTATATTTATTTCGGGATGCTTATCGAAAATTTTCTCTAATGTGCTATACAATCTTGTCAAATCAAATAATATCATTTCACAAAACCAGGCAGATTTTATAAAGAAAGCAAGAACGACAGACCAGATATTTATAATTCGTTCGACAAACATGTTCATCAAAATAATGCCTGCTTTGTGGACCTAAAGAAGGCATTCGATTCGATATGGCATACAGACCTTAAGTACAAGTTAAAAAAATCGGGAATAAAAGGTCACTACTATAGAATCATTAAAACAATGTATGAAAATGGCAGGGCGTGTGTGAAAATTAATCACTCAAATTATACAGAATATTTTTCATGTGCCAGGGGTGTAAAACAGGAAGACTCACTCAGTCCATTATTATTTAACATATATGTATATGATATTATAAAAAAGTTTGATAATGTTGGGAAATCTCCATTCCTTGAAACTCAACATGTTAGCAGTTTGCTGTTTGCAGACGATTAAGTTACATTTGATACAAGTAAAGAAGGAATGCAACTAAAACTTAACACTCTTGAATCTTTCTGTAATGACTGGAAACTTGAAATCAACATTGATAAAACAAAAATCATGGAATTCTGGAAATGTGGCAAAGTTTGTCAAGAACGATTTCAAATAAATGGTAAGAATATACAAAATGCTCAAAAGCACTTATTTAGGAATTGTCTTAAGTGCTTCGGGATCTTTTAAACCAGCCCAGCAAAACATAAAAGAAAAAGAAAATAATGCAAATAAAGCCATGTTTAAAGTTTATCAATTGACAAGCGGCACATAGATGAAATCTTCACTGAAATTTACATTTTATGATCAACTTATCAAACCCGTCGCTTTATACGGTTCGGAAATATGGTGCAATGATATACATACCAAGCGTGACTGCCTAACTAATCGAGATATTGAACAAAAATAAAAATTTAATTGCTTTAATTGAAAACAATCATACTCGATTCCAAAAATATGTTCTCTGGGTTCATAGAAAAGCCACAACATGGCAGTAAGAGGAGAATTGGGAAGCTTTTGGTAGTTGATATTATAAAAAGGCAAATTAAATACCTCGGTCATTTAGAGTTGAGTACAAATGGGAGTTTACTAAACGATTCATTAATTATAAGTAATACATTTGATTCAACAAACAACACATTTATATGCCACAAACAACTCAAAAATATACTGTGTCATATTAAAATAAAAATGTCTGATGAATTAAATCTTACACAGAGAAGAGTTCTAATGAGGTATCAAGTAATATTGGAAGAATCTTATAAGTATGAATGAGGGGAAACTTAGATTATTAAAACAACTAAAAACGCACTTTGGATTTGAACAATACCTTTCAGAAACGACATTTTCAAATGCTAAACATCTCACTAGATTACGTATAAGCGCCCACAATCTAGGGATTGAGAGGGGCCGATATACAAGACCCATTACTGATCAAAATAGTCGATTTTGTAAAATATGTAAGGACTCGGTTTTAGAAGATGAAACACACTTTTTATTCAAATGTAAACAATTAGAGTATATCAGAAAATCTCATTTTGAAAAACTTGAAATCCTGTGTAGTAACTTTAAAGATATAAATGACCATCAAAAGACAATTTTTCTATTGACGAGTTTTTTTTGTTTTGTTTTTTATTCATAGAATTTATTTTACAAACACATAAAGTACATAAACATTATACACTTGTAGTGGCTTTGCTGAAGGCATTATCACCCACTTGATATATTGACGAGTGAGGGGAACATATTAAAATAATCTGCTGACATGATAAATTATCTAATGATTGGTAGAAATATTGATAGATTGATAGATTCTTATATCAAAGTAACATTTTATATGTCATTTGAAGAATGTAATCCTATTTTCTTTACTTTATTGCTATTTTTACTGTTGATGAAAATTGTATGCTGGATGTGCGTTTGGCCCTAAAAGGGCATCAGTACAAATAAATCCTATTACATATATATTCATATCGATATCTCATTTTTCTAAAGTTTATATTTTACTTATAATCACCAACTTACCCGGTTCTGTACCAACCACGTTCGTCCTTCACAGATCTAGTTTTCTCGGATTCACCAACGTATTCTAAAAACATCAGTGGCGTTTTCACGCACACTTCTCCAATCTTACCAATACGAACAACGTTGTCTTGGTCATCTATTAGTTTTATCTATAAGGAAAGGCATAACTACAAGTATAACAATTTTGAGCACGAAATCTCACCGAACAAAACATGTATTCAAACCACTCGTCATTTGTTATATATCAGATGCTTCAACTTTTAAATATCTTATGTACTATATGCACAAAACACCAACGATCGAATTCAACCGTAAATATGAAAGAACATAAATGATATCCCTCTTACTTCAACATGTGCTAATGGAAATCCAACAGATTCTAACCTTCTGTTGACTACAGGATCATCTACAAAGTTACTCGTTGTAGCCACCGCCTCTGATGTGCTATAGAAATTCTAGTAAATCAAAACAAAATAGAATGAACTTTGAATATTGCAGCACTGTCTACCATTTGCTTTCATTTGATTGAAAATATAACTTCGTCTAAAAACTTCGTCTATGAATTATTACAACCTTGAGGCTTATTTAGATTATTGTTTAAAAATGAAACTGATTTTAACAGTTTGATGGTATATGTGGGGAATGTGAGTGAATGGGTAATGGAGTGACTTACAGGGTGGTCAAAAAACGGCAACCCTAATTTTTCCTCATATCTTTGTCATTTGAGGAAATTACTCTCTGATATTTAGCACATTTGTACATCATTCGATTTCCTACCAGCCCACCATATTTCACGACGATCAGACTGACAGTCACAATATCATAGCATTTTAAACAACGAACCCCAGATACCCACTTTCGGGCTGTCTGAACTGGTCTGGTAATCGGATGAACTCTATTTCCAACTTGATAATCTGGTAAGTATGTTTTCTTGCGGAGCCAAGCCCATGATGAAGTAGTAGAGAGGCACATTCACACAGTCAGATGCACAGTTTAGTGTATACTAGGTACGTAGGGATAGGGTCCTTTACCTTTGAAGATCCCAGTGAAAATGCAATAACTGTCAACATCGAACGCTATATTGTGATTCTCAGTAAGTTCTGGAAGGGGTGGGGTGGGGGGTTTAGGTAAACTCAAGGGGATTGATAAGTAGCAACAGTTTTTCTAACACAACAGAGCCATGCCCCATACAGCCAATGATGCACTAGAATCGTTTTGGCACAACTTCAATGACCTCATTATCAGCAGGATGACAGATAATGAATAAGCGCCCCATAGCCCAGATATAGCCCCGTTTAACTTTTACCAGTGGGGATACCCCTAGTAAAGAGTATAGGAGAATAACAGCAGAACAACATAAGAAATCAAAAGTGAGATCACAAGTGTCATTCAGGCCATACACGATGAGGAATGCAATTAGATCTTTGACAGATTTGGAATGAATGATGATTGATTGAATGATGTACATGTGTGTAAAGTATCAGGAACAAACTCCATAAAATGACAAAGATATGGGGAAAAACAGGGTTGCCGCTTTTTGACTACCCTGTATATGATTTTTCGCATATCTGTACACATTTTAAATTTGATGAATAATAAAAAAAACTTCGTATAAAGAAAACCCAGCCTTCAAATTACACGCGTTAATATTTACGTTCCTTCAATTTCGCATCGAAAAATTGAAGGACCTCAATATTTGATCAGATATCTAAATTATTTTTTCAGATAATAAAATTAAGATGGTGGAGGAAACATTGGTATGTTTTCATAATATAGTTTCCAATATCTATACTTTGCTGCCAGTTTGACAACGTTTACTTCATTTAAATAAGTATACAGGGTGGTCCAAAAATTGAACCCTGCAACAGGCTATATTTTCCTAAATACATGCATGAATTTTCTCATATTATCACATCTTGTAGAAAAAGGTCTAAAATTTATGTTGACACCAGTATTTATTCTCAGTCTTGAATTTCGAAGAAATTACAAGATTTAAACAAATATGCCTCAAATTAGATTTTTTGCAAAATTTTACCGATGTGATTGACGGAAATTGTTGATACACATAAGTTGATCTTAAAAAAGCTTTCAGTGAGAGATTATAAGTTTAAACCCTACCATATGTCAAATGGGACACTATCTGAACAGAAAACACATTTCACACTTTTATTGACCATTTTGAAGCTGTTTTAACCATTCAACAGTTTAGAGGCATGTTACCTACACAAGTTACACAAGTCACCCCTTGTGACCCAAAATCTGAGAAGCCCTTCATATAAAATCTTACAAAAATCAAAAGGAAATGTAATATTCAGTGTTTTGAGCCATATTTCATTAGAATTGGTCCACGATTAATGAAGATATTGACATTTTAAGACCATATAGGGTTATGTTGCGATTTCACTGGAAGATGTTCTCGTCTTTGGAAACATTGAACATTTCTTTTGAGCACAATAACTTTGCAACTAACAGAGGTAGGATGCCAATTTTTACATCATATTGTGTGGGATTCGAAACCAAACAAAGTCAGAAAACATTAGGTTTCCCAGACTCCGGCTTAAAAGATATCCATGGGAAGATTGTTGAAGGGTTGAAGAATCGCAGATATTGAAGTTCACATTTTACACATTTCCAGCGATGTTTCGTTAGGGCTTATAATTTCTGCAAATCTCAATACTAAGAAAAATGTTTAGTACCAACAAAAAATTTAGACCTTCCTCTACAACATGTGAAACTATGAAAGGATTCCTGTAGGTAATAAGGGAAACATAGCCGGTTGCAAGGGTTCACTTTTTTGGACCACCCTGTAAATATACAGATATTATTAAATAAATGTATTACCACAAATTCAGGAGCGAGACTTATGAATTCCTTTACGGTATCAACTGCTAGTGGCTGCGATGACGTTATTCCTCAAAACAAAATGCGTTAGGGAAAAATCAGGGCATGGTACTGACGGGGTACTGACAATTCAAAGGCTGAATACATGTGTTTTAAATAGACCTACATCCCTGCCAACTTTTTCATGATCATATTGTTAACATATATTATTCATGGGAAAGGGGTTAGTAATAATGAATTAATTTACTCTATCCAACAGTTTCTTTATTATGTTAATTCAGTCGTTCTGTTTCTTTTTGCTCCTTAGCTAGTGTAACTTGTATTATGGTCGAAGTAAACAAGCGAAGACAAATTCAACTATATAACCAGAATAATTTTATAGATCTGAAGAAATATATCAAAACGCCTCTACGGCATTAAACTCATTCCTTACATGTACCAACTAACTATATAATGCATAAGTATTACCTCCTTTGAGTTTTGCGAGAGTACTCCCATTTTTTGTACCATATAATATTATGTCTCGCCAAACATACGGCCAAATATGAGCATGGGTTACACCATATGTCTCCATGGCACCAACAATGACGTCACTAAAACCAGCCCGAGGAACGTGGTCGGGAGTAATCACGCATGTTATATCGGTAAATTCGCTTACAATCACCGCTGCGAGTATAGCCTCTATACAAAACACGTCTTCACATGTTGGATTCTCAACAGCTAATATCATGTCCTTAAAATTGAAAAACCACCCACAGGTTAGCTACATGCTTGTCAAAATAAAATGAAAAAGAGATTTTAAATCCAAATGGTGACATACTTTTCCATGTCGGTTTGTTCGGCATAGTGTGAGATATATTTCATTCATCATGCTGCTCTGGTGTGACAAGATTGCCTTTGGTTCTCCAGTTGTTCCCTATAAAATAACGTATTTTTAAAGTGATTAGAAAGCGAATGTTCCGACAAATTATTCAATGTAATGTATTTAGCCACCAAGTGAGTTTGTTCTGATTTGCACATAAGATCATTGTCTGGGATACTTGGGGTTTGATTCCTTAAGTCTTGTACGTTGTTGAGTATTTTCACTGAGCAAAAGTTATTTCATTTGATAGTTCAGTAAATGTTGTCGCCTCGTTTTGGCCTGTGCGTTTGGACGTGTAACGCCTCGTTTTGGTTTGCGTGGACTTAGACTGTATGAGCCTTTAGATCAGTAATAATATATGATTGATTTCGCCTCACCTATTTCACGACGTGTCGCAAAAAGGTCGCGCACGCATTGTTACACATTTTCGCTTTTTAACACCACAGAATGTGACGTTTTTGGGAAAAATGTACACATATGGAAATCCTTTCGTCCTCCACATTTGCCTCTATATCTCAAAATGTTTAAGTCGAATAACTCTGATATCGTACATGTATTAACAATGGGATGGGAGCATCATGAAACACGAATCAAATGATATTTTAGGTGAAATAAATATACGTGTTGCTGTGCTTGAAAATAGGCGAATGGCGTAAATTAGCCCTATTTTAATGAATTTTGAAAACCTTTCGTCCCCCACTTTTCCACATACAACAGAAAACACATACTTTTGCAAACAAAATCAACTATTTATTAATAAAATAGAGTTTAGGAGCAAAATAATCATGTAAGATTTATTAAAAATTGTTCTCGTATTTTTTGTTTAATGTACACCTGAAAAGCTGAAGGTAACAAAAAATGAGCAAAAAAGGTCGCTGTCAACAGATTCTATTTTTCAAACTCTATGACGTCACAATAAGGGACGCTTACTAAAATTCATCCTTTGAAATAAAACGTCCATCTACCTTTATAAAGACGAAAAATAAGTATAATAGTCATATATTGTTTGAGTTATGAGCGTTTAAAGACGAAAAATAATTCAAAATGTAACGTGTCAACAGGGGATATTTGCCAGATGTTTTGGTAAAAAACTCTTTTTTAAAAAAGAACGCACAAGAATCGTGAACGGAGTGTAGTTGATCTAAAAACTTCATCGAAACAGCTTTAAAATGATATATAACTTTAATTAGAATATTATCTTATAATCCGGCGAATCAAAGTTACATTCACGCGATACCCTTAAAAAACAAACGCGCCACCTTTTTTGCGACACGTCCACGCATTTAATCACTGACAGTTCACATGCATATTATTATTTATTTATTTAACTTACTGTAGACAAGAAAACAAATCCAGGATCGTCTGAAGTGACCATACTCTGTGTTTCTATCAATTGTTCATCCGATATCATGGGGTTTGGAAGTATACCCATCATACCGTTATCATCCCCAACAACAATCGCCTTAAGTGAAGGAAACTCGGAAACGTTAACCCATCTGTTGACGTGTCCACTTTTTACCACAGCATCTGGATCTATTTTCTTCAATGCATCAATCATCGAGGAATCACGTTCATTTGTTATAAGCATCTTGACGTTTATTTTATTTATCATAGTTTTTAAATGATAATGTTTTGGCTCGTAAATGTAAGGCTGAAAATATCAAATATTGTGATGATGTTTGGGTTTGTTATTGACTGACTTTATAGAATATTGTAATTATATACACTTAAAGAGCTATTATTCCATAACTTTCACATGTATGTGAGATATTATGATATACAGGGTGGTCAAAAACGGAACCCCTGCATTTTCCTCATATCTTCTTCATTTTTGGAGATTTCACCCTAATATTTGACTCATCTGTATATCATTCGCTCTCCTACCAACCTACTATATTTCATGAGCAATCATGACCATCAGACTGATAGTCACAATTTTACAGAACAACATACTCCAGATGTGGCCATCATCGCGCTGTAGGCAAACTTGAGCATTTGGCAATGACCCGAATGCATTCCTCAGCTATGGCCTGAATGACACAGATGACCTCATTTTTGAGGTCTGCGATTGTTCTGAGGTCATTCTCATACACTCTTTCTTTGGCGATTCCCCACAGGTAGTAGTCAGATAGGAATTTTTCGGACGACGTGTGCAGGTTTGCCTACAGCGCAAAAGTGACCACTACCTACAGAATGATGTACAGATGTCTAAAATATCAGGGTGTTTTTCTCTAAAATGACAAAGATATGAAGAAAATAGCGGAAGGATTTCCATTTTTTGATCACCCTGTAGATATCATAATCATACCAGGGCTTATCAAAATTCGAATCATAGAAAAAAATGTCATCGTCAAGGAAGAACATACTTTGTCGTCCAGCGCACACGCTTCTCCCTGAATTTTGATTAAGATCTACCCAGCATATATGCAAGCGTTCTTACCATGAAAAATATAGCCCCGATACTGGTAATGGCGTATAATAGAGTAGCGAAATTTTCACCGTGATCACCACTGACGAGAATGACATCACCCTTGGTGACACCCAGTCCTAACAATCCTTTGGCTAATATGTTCACCTATGGAGCATTGACAAAGTAAACAGATGAAATCAAATTATGAATTAAGAGTTTGAGAAATGAGAAATCTAAAAGAAATCTCAAAAAATGATTTGTTCAATAGGTAAAGGAAAGCTATCCACGTGCCATTCATGTGAAACAGATTTTATACTTTGTCATTTTTTATTTCATGATGTAATTGTAAAATGTATATGCGATGGTTGTTCAGAAAATAAGATAGCTATTGCTTTAAAGTGTGCGCCAAAGTTTAAAACTGCGCAGGCGCACCGCTCTCGCTAAACTATATAAAGAGATTACCGGGTACACGATTCAGAGGTAAGCCAGGAAGGCGAACGATCTTCGTCTCGTGATGATTTCCCATATAATCGTAACCAGGGAAGTTTCACCATTGAAATTGAAAATTACTATTAGATATATTTTGTAGATGTTATTTATGAAGCTATTTAGTGTTTGCATCAATCAAATGGCTCATTTTGAACATATAAAAAGTATTTGTGTTTTGTTTCCCAGGGAATTGTATTGTATATAGTACACACATAAATAGAGTACATTATACAGTACTTGAATAGCCTGGTTTACATAATATTGAAGGGTATGCTGATTACATGCACACGAGTACATGAATGAAGGCCTAATATTGATATACGTAGCTTGCATACCTAAATAAAAAATAAACTCTTCTAATCCCCTAATGTAAACACGGCGGTATACGTAGCCCGATTTATCGGGGACTTTAAGATGGAAGAAACATTGTTACCTGTTGTAATAGTTGAATACACGTGACGTGTACATCACCTTCTGCATATATGACTGCAACATGGTCGGGCTTCTTCTCTGCGGCTATTTTCAGTGACTCTCCAATACTATGCTTATACAAGGGCACTTTACTCTCTCCCTTCACGTAACTTTCTACAAGTTGACAGGGCAGTACCACATCCCTTTAAAAGTAATTTTGAAAATGACATACCGATGATGCTGCGTATCACTACACTTGGAGGAAGTGTAAGTCAATTTTTCAATGCAGCAAGATTTGCCCTGTAGCGGGATATTGCGGGGGATATGAACGTTCTGGATATGGAAATCTCAAAATCAGGATACGGGATATATCTTACCAACTTATCTCCCTAACACTCTACTGGCCATAGGATAACTGTTGTTATATTATATCAATGTCTTCAAATATAAGCGAACCCCCTCCCAATATTTCACGTGTTAAAGTCCCATTGACCATGTCATCTAGGAAAATTGATCGGCTTTTTGTCACCAGACATGTCTAGAGATGGATCTAGCTATTTACTACATTTTCAAGTACAATCATACATTACATATATCTCTAATATGTAAGATTTCATTTTGATTAGAGTAAATATCAATAACGCAGATGCGAGTAGGTAGTTACCAGTTTCACCACCAGGTGGCTCGTTCGGGTCAGATAGCATGGCGGGTATAGAAGAAAGTTCCCTTTAACTTAAATTTCATCTGTTTTAGTTGATCAATTTTTATATAACCCTTATGTATCGAATAGTTATATGCAAATTAAAATATGTTCAGTAAAAGAAAATGTTATCTGTCCAATACAAGAAAAGATATTTCACTTTTGTGATTTTGTAACATGGGGTCTATGGGGAATCAACCCGAACAAGAAGTCACATTATCAAAACAAAAAAATTTCAAAGTTGATAAACAAGTTTCGAAACCATATTTTTAGATGCACTTTTACATGTAGATTTCAAATATGACATCACTTTGACTGAATTTTGAACATTTAATGACGTAAATCAAGATTATTTCTACTCGCATCTTGTCTATTTCAATAGCCCTCTGTCTTTAATAACGACGGTTGGAATATTTGTTTTATGAAAGAAATAAAAATATAACCATAAATAAATCTTAAATATTCAAAAGATCACATTTAACTCTACACTACATGTATGTACAAATCAAAATTGTTGGCGACATTGATAAAGTCGAAATAAGCCGATGAACATCTCAAAACCGAGAATTGTCCTGTTACAAGAATAATTTGAATACACTGGTTTCTGATTTGAACTTGGATGATACTTACTAAATCAAATTACATTTTTGGCAGTGATGAAACGGGGATGATACTTTTAGAAGACTATTTTTGAGATATCACAGTTCATGCCTGCATTAGCGCTTTTGAACATTGTATGTACCGTTTTATTGTACTCTCATTTATTTGAGCTATGTTCATTCTGTTCTTGACTGCCTCTGGAGCACTGTTCATAGTGGAACAAGTGCGCGGTTGTTTTTTAATTACGTAACTACATATACACTTATTATATAATCTTTAGGTAGTTAGTCAATTAGTCATGGTATAATCATTTATTTCAATTAGTATTTAGAAATATATTATGTAACATTATGTAATATCGCCAAACAAAACTCATTCTTGTTTGTTATTTGTTTATCAACGTAATTAAGTTAATTTCATCAATGGCGAATATAAATGACTATCATCTTCAATTTGAGTAAGTATTTTCTGTTCATTTAGTACATCTAATGACCTATTAGTCATTTTTAAGACGGATAAGTACTTTTTTAAAGTGTTGGTCATTTTGACCACCATGTTTAGATACGGGCCACCAGCTAAGTTGAATGGTCAACAGGTCCGTTTGCCCAGCGTGTACTTTCCCTAAGTGAATACACTGCTTGCAACCGTAGCTTTTATCTGGAATCCCGATTTTACTTGGTTTAGTTGAAAGCGAATGTTGTGGACCAGTGCTGATGGCACGTTGTACGTTATTGTTTAAAAACATACACCCTTTTCAATTGAACTTCTCTGTCAACGGATCTATCGTTCCCATGTTAAGCGCTTTAAGAATGTCGACATCGGTGCCTTTTGTTAAATGTGAATACCTATAGAGAAATAATCCGAAGTAGATACGAAAATATAACATGGATTAGGGTTTTATTGTTGATAAAGTGAAAGTCAAGTTATCAGATTTTGAGGCTTTACATATGTTTTTATTTTACTGGTCCCGTAACAACAATCTACTCATTAGCACTCAACTTGACCATTTTAAATAGAATAATAAACATTTCTTTGTAAATTAAAAATTAAGCATAAAACTACATATTAGTTTTTACTTTGTTAATAAAACTTTACTATTTCTATTATTGTATGTATTATATGAAATAAACGGCCTTCCTAGTTTGTTAAATATTGTTATATAAAATTATGCAAAAGAAATAAAACTTAACCTCAAAAAAATATAACAAACGATTATAAATAACTGAACGCTTAACGAACTACACAAGAAAAATAACATCTATTTGTGTGTCATCTGTACATGATAAATATCTCAGAAACATTTCGCAAATACAAATGCACTCAAAAATCAAGTCACAACAAATGTAATTCTATACAAGGGAATGACATGCAAAATGTCACCACCTGCCATTTGTTACCGATGCGGAACGCCAGCCACCGACCGGCATTCACAAAAATCCTGGAGACTATAACAATGTGTCACCACTCCTGTGGTTACATAAAAGTTATGATTTCATGTTGAAGCATACAGGGATATAATTTTGCATGGTATATGCTAATTTCTGGAAGGCAAATAGCCTTTGCATTTAATAATAATGCCCAACTTTTGAATTTGAATTTCTGCTCAATGCCCTATCTTGACTCTCAAGGTTTTAGTTGCTCTAACTGTTATAACCACTTGGAATTCGAAGATATCTATTATTAAAACCCACCCAAATCACTAAAAACGATGAAAACGATCATGGAATACAAAATATAGTTTTAAACATGTAACTTACTGGCAGTCAATCCAATCCATCCTTTATCTGTTGAGCAATGACCGGTTATTGTCATCAGATGTATCCTGTCGAGATTGATTGTATATCGAGTGTCCTAAAAAATGTAAGCCGCTTTTGAAAGGTGTTTTCTCAGCAATGGATTAATCAAATTCATTGAAATTTTGTACCAAAGTGTTGTAAAAGCATTATCAGCATGTTGAAAATCCAGTAACAGAGCTGCGCAACGAGGCGCAAATAAGTCCAGCCCCCCCCCCCCCCCCCCCCATGCTACAGCAAAAACCTCAATATTATAATATATGGTATCTAGTGCGATACGCCATTGGAAAGATCATCTTAAGTTACGTTAACAATTGAATAACAAACAGCTATAGCCATTTACTTATTATCCACGACGATGAACTTAAGAATCCATGGAGTGAATCTTTGAACAATTACTGTAGACACTCATAATATACTGAAACATAAAAAATGATTTATTAATTGATTGTTCCCAAAGAAAGGTGATAGTCCATGGTATGAAATTCCTAGGAGGCCTAATAAAGGAGCTGGTACCCAATATAATCCAGCGATATTTGACCTAACTGATATTAGATACCTACACATGTCCAGTATTGTTTTTATTACAGTCGTTCAATATTCTTCGGGCTTTTGGGCTGAATTATGCGTGTCATTAGCAGGGGTCAAAAATGTTAGTTAAAACGAAATCCCCCTTTCACAATTTGGAGTACATACAGAAATTTTTATGAAATTAATTTTGGGTGTATGTTTTGGGTTTCTCAACCATAAATTTGACTTAATTTTCTTTAGAAATACAAACAAATTACGTAATCAGCACATCAACACTTTGAATTGTTTCTGCAATATTGGTGATGTAAATGGTATTAATGAATTGTTTTTATATAAGAATGAAATATGCTAAAATTATTGTAGTTTTTTTAATAATGGGTCTTACCCTTAATACGTCAGGGGTCAACTATCAATAAAGGAGGACGTATTGCTCTTCATTGACTTACTGTGACTTATTTTGCCCCTAGTTAGATATTGCTCAGAATTCACGAAGCTTTGAGAAAAAGTGGTTTTGATTTTCACCAAAAATGTGATGATAACCAGCAGTTATGTCTAAGAATATTTTACCATCATAAAATGTGATGATATGCAGCAGTAACGTCGAAAGAGAAATGTAAGGCGTTTGATTGCATATGTCTCTTATAATTAAACAATACTTTGAAATAGTAAAAACCTAATATATTTGAAATTATGAATTTTCTAGACAATTCATACAATTTTGTTGAATTTGCTTGACCAATATTTGAAAAACAAATAATAATAAGCACATTTATGTAATCACACTTATTGACCTATGGAAATTATATTGAAATATAATATAATATACATAATTATATTAAATTAATTTTGACAAAATGATAATCCAATGTATTGTAAATATGACTACATTAACTTCTCGAGCCTTATAAAATATGTAAAGATTCAAATGAAAATATTTTCGTTTTTGACCCCTTGTAATGAGAGGCATATTTCGACCCAAAAGCCCAAAGTTTTTTCAACAAACAATATTTTAACTGAATCAAGACATATGGACCTCCTTAAATATACGTTCAAATGTTGCTGCACTGTATTGTGTTACGGATTCTTCATATTCCGGAGGCATACCATTGACTATGATGCCAACATGGCCAAGTAAATAAATAACATTGTCCCATTTGTATACGTTTCATATATATCATACGTTATGTTTTATGTATGCATGTTTCTTTATTGTAATTGACCAATACTCCAGAGGGAGATACGGGACAATAAAGAAATATCTTATCTTGTTAACTCACCAACTCTCAAGTACTTGATGAAATTTTGGATATTTTATGATGTCCTAATAGCAGTCAAACGAAATTATACGAAAATCATACGAAAACACGGCCAAAGAAAAAAAGAAACTTACTTATACAAAATAAGCAGGCATGCGGAATGAGGGTAATTGTTTTTGTTTCTATCCTGGCCTCTATAAAGCATTATGAGTAAGCTGCTTATATTAATTAATTTTCACGTGATGCTAGTTATCCACTACGGATAAGGTTAGATACAAGAGTGAGACACCATTGACCGACCTTATCCCCCTATCACACCAAACTAGTTCTTACCCGTTCTTGCCAGTCCTAAAACGGGCTCAATCTGACTGTGGTCGGGAAATATAACGCGTCCTTTAGTCTAGAAGGTCATCATGACCTGATTACAGAACTAAATTAACTCGTCATTTTGAAGTTGTGAACAGCGATCATTGATCATATGACTTTTATGCCAATGAAACGATCGATTTTAATAAAGCCACTCGGTCGACAATTGACAATGAACATAGGTCATTGTTACATGCTGCTAAATAGGCAGTTTATGATTCACAACAACACAGGAATTAAATTATATTACATTTATTTACTAAAGTTTGGCTTGGGGTTCCCTGAAAGAAAGTCATTTGATTATACATTAATAATATACAGTTGTTAAGGCAATCCACCTCACCAAGCTATCTATTTTGATTTCAAATTCATATATGTTCGAGTGATTGATTGATTGATTGAATTTTTGATTGATTGGATTACTTGATTGAGAGCTTGTGTGATCCCGCGACATGTCGCTTGATATGATGGACGAAGTCTTGGGTACAAGCTAGATTGGAGAATTGAAGCGACCAACTGCATATGTGTACTTGTGGTCGGGGAGTACAAGTATGCAAGTCTACCTCCAACAACACATTGAACGGAAGCCGAAGGCACACGAAAGCTACATCGTTGGCAGCAAACGTGGGCTGCATCGTTGGCAGCCGAAGCCAAAGGCAAACGTGAGCTGCATCGTTGGCAGAGCTGCGCTGTGATCCCTGAATATTGGGAACGCACCAATGCATTGTTGGAACCCATGTACATCTTTGAATAGTGAAATGATGATAATCACGAGATGCACAATCGGCAAACAAACATGTCTTGTACTGATCTAAACCTAAATATCGGCCAATAGGCCTATCTCTTAAGATAAATGGCGTTCAGAAGAATTGGTGAGTGGTGGGGTGGATGGCGGATAACTTGTTATCGCAAAGCGCACCTTAAAATGAATCAAGCAATGGTTACGTGTTACAATAACATAAGAATTAGCCAACCGGTTCGTTGCACATGATATTTGCCTTGAGGGGTGGAGATTGTTGTAAATCATAAACCCGACTCATACTTAAAGTATAAGTCAAACATTTATGATTCACAACAACACAGGAATTAAATTATATTACATTTATTTACTAAAGTTTGGCTTGGGGTTCCCTGAAAGAAAGTCATTTGATTATACATTAATAATATACAGTTGTTAAGGCAATCCACCTCACCAAGCTATCTATTTTGATTTCAAATTCATATATGTTCGAGTGATTGATTGATTGATTGAATTTTTGATTGATTGGATTACTTGATTGAGAGCTTGTGTGATCCCGCGACATGTCGCTTGATATGATGGACGAAGTCTTGGGTACAAGCTAGATTGGAGAATTGAAGCGACCAACTGCATATGTGTACTTGTGGTCGGGGAGTACAACAGTGGCGTAGCGTCGTTTACGCAAAGTACGCAAATGCGTCCACTGGAACAATCCAATGTTTATCTGAATATTTGGAAATTCTAAATTTCTCAAGTTTTAATAAGCAAAGCCATTGTTCAACCTTATCATTTCGTATCTTTGAACAGGGTTCAACCATAGAAATTAGGTGTTTATTTTAGTCCCGACATGTCATTAATGATTCTTTCAAATTATACTCTCATAATTTCGTGAATACTCTTATATAATCCATATGACCCCCCCCCCCGTATTAAGTACATAATGGCTGCTCATGTGCCGAATCCAGTGGAAATGAATGCGTATCGGGTAAACCCCCCCCCCCCCATCCCAATTTTGGAATTTTGCGTCCCCTAGTAAAATTGCCACGCTACGCCACTGTACAAGTATGCAAGTCTACCTCCAACAACACATTGAACGGAAGCCGAAGGCACACGAAAGCTACATCGTTGGCAGCAAACGTGGGCTGCATCGTTGGTAGCCGAAGCCAAAGGCAAACGTGAGCTGCATCGTTGGCAGAGCTGCGCTGTGATCCCTGAATATTGGGAACGCACCAATGCATTGTTGGAACCCATGTACATCTTTGAATAGTGAAATGATGATAATCACGAGATGCACAATCGGCAAACAAACATGTCTTGTACTGATCTAAACCTAAATATCGGCCAATAGGCCTATCTCTTAAGATAAATGGCCAAACCGGCAGATTATTAACCGTTTTTTAGGCCTGTGACTGGGTGTGAAGTGAGAGATGGTAGCTAACGGGAAGCACGGCAGGCACTATTCATATTTAAATGAGTTTGCCCTCAAACTACAATCAACCCGATAGCCCTGTAGCCGTAAATTGCATTCGCGAATACAAGCTCAGATTCATCGGCCGGAGCCCTTACGATCGAGATTTTGTTCAGAATTTCAATCATATTTTAACAAAATATTGAATCGTACGGGCGCCGTCTGATGAATCGGAGCTTGTGTGAGCTAGGCATTAAATACATCACATTTACTGGGTTCAGTGAACATTGAATGAAGCCCACCGGCGGATCTGGGGGCCAGGGGCCCGGGGCCCACCCACCCCAAAAATTTGGGCCCACTTTTTGGTTTTAGGGGCCCAAATTTTTTTGATCAGATTTAGAATTTGCTCCCCCCTTGTTAGTTCCCAGATCCGCCCCTGAAGCCATTGACCGTGATGTACTAAGTGTTCTGAATGAGAATGAATTTGGCCCATTATAAGTTCAGACTTTTCATTTTTTCTATTTTTTGGAATGAATTCAAATTTCCAAAGCTCCTATCCTATGAGATTGGCGCCAAAGACATCTTGTATGCTTTCCTTAACACTCATGGTCATATTCCAGACATATGCACTCTATATGAAATAAAATCAATGTAAAAGAAGTCTTGATTAGACTATACAAATGAGACTGATTTGCCAAATAAAACATTTCTTCTGAAAATTGGAAAGTTTGCTGCTCAAATGATATTATACCATTTGGAGTCAGTGGTTCACATCTATTAGTCCCTAACCTGCTCAAAAAAATTTAGAACAAAGTTACTAGGTAGGCGTGAGACCAAGTTGTATTGCCAATATTTCGCAAAATATGACGCTAATTTCAAAAAATCAAAAATTGAGAGTTGTATTTCCTGGGGTTAATGG